CCCCAACCAGGATCCAGGATCCGTCCCCTGGCCACTGGCCTACACCCGAACCCAGCTTCATTTGTCTCAATGACTGCTCCCCTGAGCCAGCCATGAGCCATGGCCCTGGGGACATGTCACAGGACAGTGGAAACACAGGATCCTCAGTCCACAAGAGCTGTACCCAGGACAGGGGCCATCATGGGGGACAGAGGCCAGGACAGCCTGGGCCCCAGGTCAATCACAGACACAGGGGAATGAGGAATGAGCCATGGAGGACAGAGAGCAGATCAGGACAGGACTGGGCAAGATAGGAAGGGGGTGTGAGATAGAGAGAGACAGAGACAGAGCCGGGCATGACACACACCCATCATCAGGTGGGTGCCACCTGCCAGCTCCTGCCTCCGCTCCCCTCTCTCAGCCAGGTGTGCCCAGCTGCCCCACACCCCACTCTCAGCCCCTGGCATCTGCTGTGCTGGGACCCCTGCAGTCTGATGCCCAGAGGCCCAGGGCTGTGTGACCCCAGCCTTGGTCTTCAATTTCCTCTCTGATGGAACAGAAAACTCCACCCTCCACCGCTTCCCCTACTGAGGACCCACTGTGCATCTGGGCCCAGCTGAACACTGGGAACACAGTGGCCACTAAGGACTTCTATAAATTGATTAGAAGTCATTGGGTACAAAGCAAAAATAACTAATAAAGGCCAGTGAGATGGCTCAGCGGCTAAAGGGGCTTGCTGCCAAGTCTGCTGATCTGAGTTCAAGCCCCAGGACCCACATGGTTAGCAGAGGCCACAACATCCAAGAATCAACGAGGAGGAAGGAGAGAGAGATCAGGACTGCAAGGGATCATGATCCGGTGGACCATAACCCTGAACTCTTGATCCTCCACTTCCACCTCCCAAGTGCTGGGATCACAAGTGTGCACCATCACATTGCTTTTATGCTGGGGCTGAATTCAGAGCCTCATGGATGTTACAAGAGTGTTCTACCCACTGGGCTACAAGCACTCTTACCCACTCAGCTACAAGCACTCTATCCACTGAGCTACAAGCACTCTGAGCTATAAATCCTTTTGATTTTTTATTTGTATTTTTATGTGTTTATATACGCCCATGTTTCCAGTGCCCACAGAGGCCAGAAGACGGTGTCATAGCCCCTGGCACTGGAGTTATGGATAGTTAGCCACTATCTGTGTGCTAGAATTGAACCTGGGTCTTCTGCAAGAGCAGTCAGTGCTCTTAACTGCTGAACCATCTGGACAGCCTCTACTGCCTTCTTTTTTTTTTTTTTGGTCTTTTTTGAGACAGGGTCTCCCTATAGCCCCAGGTAGCCTGGAACTCCTTATGTAGACAAGGCTGGCCTTGAACTCAGAGATCCGCCTGCCTCTGCCTCCCTGAGTGCTGGAATTAAAGGTGTGTGCCACCACACCCGGCTCTGAGCCTCAGTTCCCCCCACCTGAACAGCAGGATGGTTTGCTGCATCCCCCAGAGTGATACCTGGGAAGGAGGTACCTTGACATTATCCCATAACTCCACTCTGGCCCACTGTCAGTGGGGACACCCTGCAGGCTGCTGCGTGGGCAGGAACCCAGCCAGGCTCCTCATTCCAAGTTTGGCCTCCCCCACCTCTGGAGTCACTGGGCCGGATGGTGCCCCTTGGGGGCTGATGGGGAGGCACCCTTGTTTGTACATCTTGTTTGGAATGTGGTAGAGCAGGCCCTGGGGACCTGAGTCAGGAGCCTGAGGCACCTGCTAGGAGCAAGGGCTGTGGTCTTCCTGGACAGGTGACATTGCCCTGGAGTACCTGGGGAGGGGCTAGGGGAACCATGGTGCGGGGTTTCCTTAGCCTCAGATCAAGATGAGTCCCAACTAGAGTTTAGTCCAAGCTAAGGGGCTCTGCTGGGGTTGGGGCTCATAGCTGGGTCCAGGATCACTCACTGCCCAGTCAAGAACGGTGTTACTACGTTACTACACACCTTTGATCCCAGCACTTGGGAGGCAGAGGCAGGCAGATTTCTATGAGGTTGAGGCCACCTCAGTCTACATAGTGAGACTAAGGGAAGACCCTCTCTTACATCACAAAGAATAAGAAAGAAAGAAAGAAAGAAAAAAGAACAATGGTGGCTCAGTTGGTAAGAGTGCTTGTAGCTCAGTTGGCAGAGTGCTTGTAGCTTAGTGGACCCAGGGCTTTGTGCTAAGCAAGCACTCTCAGTGGGCAGAGTACTTGCTAAGCACAAAGCCCTGGGTCCATCCCAGCAGCACATAAACCAGGTACAGTGATGTATGTCCATCATCTGAGGACTGGGCAGTGGAAGCAGGAGGACTGCTGCAAATTGGAGGCTAGCCTAAGCAACAGAGTGAGACCCTGCTCAAAAGAAACAAATGAAAGAACCATTTGTTTCCCACACTGCCTCAGGTCTTGCCTCTATCAATGGCCTCATCCCCTTTACTTTCTGGATTTCTCTGAATTCTGAGCTTCTCAGACCTTGTTCCTTAAAAAAGCCATGTGGAACCTCAGCCAGAGCCCCTGCTTCTGCCACCCTCCATCTGCCTGTACTGTCTTTGTGTTAACAACCCAAGTATCACTGTCCTGGAGGGAGCATCCAGTGTGGTCAGAGGCTCCAGAAACACGCTCCAGGCCCTTCCAGATCTTCGCTGAGGCCCTGTAGTGGGAGGTCACAGGCCACAAGACACCTGGGAAAACTCCAGGGTCAAACCATTGTGCTGCCCCCTGCCTCCCTGAACTAGAAGACAGAGCACCAACCAGCCACTATCAACTGGCCCAGAGACATACAGATTTCATTGTGTCTACTGCCCAGCACCCACTCCTGGCATGGACCCCAGCCCCTCACTGGGAATTCTAGACTGTCACTCTACACCTGAGCCACAACCCCAGCCCCTCACTGGAGGACCCTAGGCTGTCACTCTAATCCTGAGCCACTCACCCCTAGTCTTTTCAGATTTTTGATAATTTTTTTCATAAGTTGCCCAGGTTGGCCTTGAACTTGCAATCCCCCTGTCTCAGCATCCCAAGTAGGCCCCGGTCCTATCTTCTATTCAGTCTACTGGCTTTTCTGATGGGAATTTGTCCTTGGTGTTCCATTCCCCCGAAAAAATGGCTATAGGTTCCAGGCTGCACACAGTAGGTGTGGCTGAGTGGGAAGGGATCCCTGGCAGGTAAAAGGGCTCAGGTCATCCACAGTAAAACAAAGGACACAGTCAGGAGGGAGGGGGGGAGCGTGGGTGGCCCTTGAGGGGCCCTGGCTCTGGCCGCTGGCAGCTTGTCCCCATGCCAGGCTGTTTCAGGGCCCGCCCAGGCCTCAGGGCTGGGCAGAGGTGGCAGCTGAGAGGGGGGCCCCCCCACGGGCTGTTCCACCTGGTGACTCAGCCCCAAGATGGGCCTCCGGGGGAAGACAATGGTGGCTTGTGGGTATAGGGAGCACCTCCCTGCAGGTGTGTGGCCAGGGGGCTGACAGGGGAGCTCTTGGAACCTCAGTCTCTGCCTCCGCACAATGGATCCACTTTCTGGGGCAGGAGGACCTGCCAGCCAATTTATGGGTGGAAATCGGTACATTTGGGACAGATGGTATCGGGGGTGGGGGGGGTGTCTCTTGATGAGTCTTTTTCCTTTGAAGGAAGGGACTAGAAGTGTCCCAGCCACTACAGTCTCACTCAGTGCCCAGCTCAAAGTATGCCCATCCCTGAGTGGGTGACCACACACCCTCAAATTCTTAAGATCTGGGTTGAGCCACAGGATAGATTGGGGGCTCAAAGATGGAGTGAGATTTAATCTAGAGTCTCATGTCCCTTAGAGGGGACACAGAAGGACTCAGGCAGGAATTACAAGCTGTGAAACACCTGCTGTGTGCCTTTATAGTATGTTTGAGCCACTCCCCTGACCCCTCACTGGGGGGATTGTAGGATGTCACTCTACACCTGAGCCATGCCCACAGCCCTTCACTGAGGGATTCTAGGCTGTTACTCTTTCCCCTCCGGGAAAGCTGGAAGAATGTCTAATTATTATTTTTATTATCCTGAATATTGAGATTCTATTTCCAAGAGAGGGTATATTTGACCTAAATGTGGCCTGGTACAGTTCAAACCTAGGTCTAAATTTCCTTTCAGTGCCGGGCGTGGTGGCGAACGCCTTTAATCCCAGCACTCTGGAGGCAGAGGCAGACGGATCTCTGAATTCGAGGCCAGCCTTGGTCTATATAGTGAGTTCCAGGACAGCTGGGACTACAGGGAGACCCTGTCTAAAAAGACCAATAATAATAATGATAAATTTCCTTTCAAAGATGTGCAAAGGCTCAGGTATGAAAAAAGACACATCCTGACTTCCACGTGTGGGGGTCTGTCACAAACAGAAATAATGCAGTTTCCTAGCCTCTCATAGAAGATCCCGTGGTGGATTGTGATCTACCCGCTCGCAACACACAATACCTAGAAACTCAAATACAACCTATTCGACATGGATCCACGGGCGGGCGCGCCAACCGAAAAATAAAATCCCACCCCACCCTCTTCTTCCCCACCTCCCAGGCCCGAGAGCTTCTCGCGGCCTCAGGCGCTAAGAATCCCGCCTCTGCCGTGGGGCGGGAACGTAGTGGGGCGTGGCTTCCTAACGAATGGTCAGTATCGCTGCCCATCAAAGCGTCCCGTCTTTCCATTGGACTTTTTTTGGTGGGCCTTCTCTTTCAATCTCACGGTCCTCCGCTATCATGTTTTTCACACTTATGTACACCTCCGCGCAGGAACATAGTCCCTGAGTCTGCGCGGTTTGGCTTGCCATCTCCCCACCGGAAGCGGTTAGAATCAGAAACTGGGTGAGGCTTGGGGTCATGGGTGACCGTGTCCGCGCTTGCGTGATCGAACGTTGGAATACGCGTCTGTCAGAATTCCCTCACTAGATGGCGGAGGGATCTGCGGGGCGCGGCTGCGCGTGAGGGGCGTGGCTTCCCGAGAGGACAGGGCTGTGGGCGTGGCTTGCTGGAGGGCATGGCTTCCGCTGGCGGCGCGGGGCGCGGGGCGGGGTTCGGGGGGCGGAACATGTCTCCCGCCGCAGGAAGATGAGGCAGCGCCGGCGGCTGCGGGCGTAGCGGGGCCACCGCCGCGCCGCCGCCGCGTCCACCACGGTTCTTTCCCCGCGGGCTGAGAAGCTCAAGTGGGGGGCCCTGTGACGCGAACGCGAGTGGGGGTGAAGGAGCAGGAGGAGGAAGCACGCGCGCCCCCGTGCCCGGCGCGCCCTCCCCGCCGCCCACGCGCGACCCTCGGGGACGCGCTCGTCACCCCTTTTGTCCCCGGGGCCCCCCGAGGACGGTGGGCAACAGGGTGCAGCCCGGTTGCAACCCGGTTGTATGCTCCCCGCCCAGCAGGTGAGCGCACGCGGAGAGGCCTCGGGAGCGCGCGCGTGGGGTGCACGGGGACGCGCGTACGGTGGGGACCCCCCCCCCCCTTCCTCTGCTGGGGGCATGAAAAAAAAAAAAAAAAAGTTGCCCTCAGGTCTCTCTCTGGTCCGCGGGGAGGCCGGGGTTGAGAGAGCCCCCGGGGAGGGTTGCACGCGTCCCCCTGGCTTGCACACGGCCCGGGCCGGGCATTGTTCTCGGGTGTCTTAACTTTGCGCGCCGGCCAAGGGGGGCGACGTGGAGGGGACGGACGCACTTGGGTGCAAAGTTTGTACAGGCCTCAGATGCAAGGGTCCTGTGTGGAGGGTCCCCCAACTCTACCAGATTGGTGTTCCCCAGCTCCTTAGGGATCTTAGGGAAGGTGTAGCCTCCACTTCTCACCCACCACCAACACCCCACATTCAGCGGGCCCCTCCAGATCTGAGCTGGAGTTTGGAAGAGAGGGAGAGGACCATCCTTTCTCTACATCTGATAGAGGGTCCCCAACTCTTGGGGATCTTGGAGTGAGGTGTTTCCTTCCCCCTCACACACCCAGGGATTGGGCTCCCTGATCCGACCTTGGAGTTTGGAGGGAAAAAGAGACCATAAGTCCTTTGTCTACTAGAAGGAAAGGACCTCCGGGTACAGGTTAGAACCGGAGGAAATACGGGGTACCCGGGGAATGAGAACATTTGCTCTGCTTTAATTTGGGGTGCGGCACAGCTCGGGGTCTGGGACACCGTGGTGGCCGGCGGCGAGCTTCAAAGAGCTTCCAGGCTCCTGGCCCCACACCGGTTGCCTGAGAGGGAGGGGGAAAGGAAAAAGGGGGATGGTTGTCCTGAATTGTGCTCCTCTCCCCCAAATCCAAAAGACTCGGGCTGTCCCAGCCCCCCTCCACAAAATGCTTGTTGACATTAGCCCACCCCTAGCAGTTATTTAACCTCTTCTTCTCCAAAGCATGTTTTCAGTCCTAGAGTCAGCCTGAAAAATCAGTTTCAAGTACCCCCACGAAAAAAGTGCGGTTTCGTACACCTCAGAGGAAAAAAAAAGTCAGTTTCACACACCCTCTGAAAAGGAAAAAAAGAAAAAGAAACAGCGGGGGAGGGGGTGCTTTGGGGTGCCCGTTTCACACCCGGTGTCTCAGTTGGCAAACAAAAGAGTTGGGGTTCCCGGGCTTTAGACTGTGGGTCTTCCTCTACTAGGAACCCCCTTCCCCATCCCCCAGCCGCAGTGGTTTCTCAGGGCACGCATGCCTTCCAGCCTTTCAGGGGAACCCTGGAAAAAGTTGGTTTTGTGTGTGTGTGTTGAGGGGGTGCTAAGCCTTGCTCTGTCTCCTTTCCTGGGGTGGCACAGGGGCCCGGCAGGTGGATCTCTCTTCCTCCCCTTGTGGAACGGAGCCCTCTGGGGACCTGGTGGGGAATCCCACGTTTGAGTACCCCCCTCCCCCAACCCAGGGTGAGACTCAGTAAGGGGATGTTTTTCAAACTTGACTCCAAATAATTCCCGGATGCCTCTGACAACAAGAGAACCTGCTGGGTTTTTGTTTTTCTAAGTGTAGTTGGATCAGAGGGAGGGGACAGGGAAAATCTGTGGGTCCCAGGCAAACACCCCTCCATCCACATAGGTCTTGAGGTTCAGAATTTGTTTTGCTTTGGACAGATGCTAGATGGGGAGGAGGTGTTTTGCTGAATTTTTGAGGAGTGGGGTGGAACCTGGGCCTCCCCTCCCTTCTGCCCCCAGATAGGGCCCATGGACAGCCTGGAGAGGTGGTCAACATGAGGGTTTCTAGCCCCCCATGAGTTTAAGAAGTGCAGCTTGACTCCCCAGTGGCCCCCTGAGAGTGTAGAGAATTCATGTGTACCCCTTCTTTATTCAAGCTCCTTGTTTTCTGCCAAAGGGTCTACAGGGGATTCCCCCCAATCCCAGCTTCCTCCAGAGCTATGAAGACCCCAGGTTCCCCCTTCTGGTCCCCACCTGTCCATGTGAGCTGTACTCACTCAAACCTCTTCTCTCTCCCGTTTCTCCCCTCTTGTCTGTGGGTGTGACCACACAGGACTGTCTCCAGGGCTAGGGTGGGCACTCCAGTTCCCGTGCCTGCTGCTGTGGCCAGAGGATGGACCAGTCTCAGAGAATGGCTCCTGTAGGCTCCGACAAGGAGCTGAGCGACCTGTTAGATTTCAGTATGGTGAGTCACCCCTCAGCTTGTGTGAGTGTGGGGGTGACTCCTAGCAGGGGCTGCAGGAATGGGGGAGCACCCCGTGGGCATAGGAATGGATCTGTCTACAGTGGGAAACTGAGGCCCAGGGAACAGGAAGGGCCCTCCAAGAGCTCCCAGCTTTCCCCCCATCCCACCTGTAAGTGCTTTACTCTAGACTCCCCACTGTGGCTGTGAGGAGCTGAGGAGTTTCTGGGTTATAGATGGAGAGAAAGCCATCTTGAGGTGTGATGACCCACACTGGGGACCTCAGAGGAAGAGACCACACCTTCCTGCCCTGTGCAGTTGTGCACACCTTTAATCCCAGCCCTTGGGAGGCAGAGGCAGGTGGATCTCTGTGAGATTAAGGGTAGCCTGGTCTAGATAGCAAGTTCTAGGCCAGCTATGGCCACAGAGAGACCCTGCCTCAGGAAAACACACACACACACACACACACACACACACACACACACACACAAACTAAAAACCCATGTACCTGGCCCTGTTGATGTACAGTCAACAGTGGTTGGGGACAGCCACTTCTGAGCCCTTCCCTGTCCCCTTCCAGGGTAGCTCAGGCTATCCCTCAGGTGACCCATTTCCTCCATCTGTGTAAATGGATGCCCAGAGAAGTTGCTGGCTTGCAAAAGTCATATACTATAGAAACACTCACTGAGGTGGAGAAAGCCTAGCCCCTTGCTGCACATCTTGCCCACCTGGGACCCTCAGTTTGTCCATCTGCGCACTGGGCACCTTTGGTGACTGTTGGGGGGATCTTGGCATCTCCTGGGAGAGCCACAATGTTTTTCTGAACTGCGGATTCACCCCCACCCCTAGAAGCACAATCGTACTCTGAAACAGCTTACAGGGATGACTCTCAGTGCAAATTCACCACTTGCCTGCCACCCTCACCAGGGGCCCAGGCTCCAGGAGTCTGTCAAAAACAAGCATGCCCACAAAGAAACACCACCAGCCACCCTGAGGAAATGCAGCCCCAGGGACAGAACCACCAAGGCTCCAGAAGGCCCTGCTGGTATTTTAAGGCCCATTTTATTTTTGCCTTCCCAGCTGAGTGGGCAGAGGTCTTGGCCTGCTTAGGTTTTTTCTTTTTTTTTTTGTTAAACTGTCAGGTCACGGCCTAGTGGTCCAGAACATAGTGTGGGGAATGTAGCTCAGCCCCGTGGGACCCATCGGCACACCTCCCACAAGGCCCAGGGTCTCCCCTGAGCCAGTCAGAGAGAGGGTGCCCCATGGCATAGATGAGAAATTTTTTAAATGTGTGTGTGTGTATACGTACCACATGTGTGCAGTGCTCATGGAGGCTAGAAGAGGGTGTCAAATCTCCCGGAACTGGAGCTAATAGATGGTCATTAGCTGCCATGTGGGTGCTGAGAACCTAACCTGGGTCCTCTACAAGAGCAGCCGGTGTCCTTATCTGCTGAACCAGCTCTCCAGCCCTGAGAGCCATGTATTTATTATTTATTTATTTATTTATTTATTGTTTTTGAGGCAGGGTCTCACTGTGCAGCCCCAGCTGGTCTGGAACTGGTGCTGGGATGAAAGGCGTGTGCAGTTGCCAGTGCTCTTAACTACTGAGCTGTCTCTCCAGCCCTAAGAGCCATATGATCTATTTATTTACTTACTTTTGAGATGTGTGTCACATAGTCCAGGCTGACCTCAAACTCCCTATGTAGGCAAAGAAGACCCTGAATGGATCTTCCTGTCTCAGTCTCCTGAGTGCTGGGGTGGCAGACTCAGTTTTCCCTTCTGACAGACGGGCCCACATGTCCTCTTTGTGTGTGACTTGAATGTGTGGGGACCCTGCTGTCCCCCCACACTGCCTGCTTGTGAGCTCCCATATATTCAGAGACTCCATAGTTTCTGGAGATGTCATAGTCCACCAGGATGCTGGCCAAGGAGTTGGGCTTTTCAGACCTGGCCTGGTACTCGGTATCTGTTTACCTGTTGCACAGAAGCGGGGTGCATAGCTAAGCAGGCACCAAAGGAAGTTAGCTATCACCCTTTCAACTTGACTTGTATCCGCTGAGCTAGCCATGGGTGGCGTATACCTGTCTTTCCAGTACTCAAGAGAATGAGGCAGGAAAATTATAAGTTCCAGGCCAGCTTGGGCATAGTGAGGTCCTGTCTCAGAGATAAAAACCAGGGCTACGGAGAGTGCTCAGTTGGTAAAGTGCCTGGGACCCAAGTTCGATCCCTACCACTGACAAAAAGCCAGGTGTGCTGGTGCCCAGCCGTAACCCCAGAGGATCCCTGTGTACTTGGAAAACTCAGGCCATTAAGAGATGATGCCTCAGAAAATAAGGTGGCTGAGTTTGATGATGTATGCCTTTAATCTCAACACTCAGGAGTCAGAGGCAGGCAGATCTTTGTGAGATTGAGACCAGCCTGGGCTACAAAGTGAGATTCTGTCTCAAAAAAAGGGGGTAGGTGCTGGAGACATGCCCGGAAGTTAAGAGCACTGGCTGCTCTTGCAGAGGACACAGGTTTGGTTCCTAGCATTCACATGGCAGCTAGCAACCATCTGTAACTCCAGTTCCAAGGGATCCAGTGCCCTCTTCTGGCCTCTGGGTACTGTTTGCATATAGTGTACCTACATACATGTAGGCAGAACACAAACTTTTTTTACTTTTTTTACTTTTTTTTTTTTTTTGGTCTTTTTGAGACCAGGGTCTTCCTGTAACCCCAGCTGTCCTGGAACTCACTATGTAGACCAGGCTGGCCTTGAACTCACAGAGATCCACCTACCTCTGCCTCCCAAGTGCTGGGATTAAAAACGCCTGGCTATAAATAAACATTTTAAAAAACATTAACCTGCTGGGCGTGGTGGCGCATGCCTTTAATCCCAACACTTGGGAGGCAGAGGTAGGTGGATCTCTGTGAGTTCAAGGCCAGCCTGGTTACATAGTGAGTTCTAAAACAGCTGGGGTTACAGGGAGACCCTGTTTCAAAAAGACCAAAAACAAAACAAAACATTAACCTACACACACAAACATCAAGTTGTAACCTCTAGCACACAGGTTCCTGTCCCTCTCAAACCAAACAGCTTAAACCCCAAGTCCTGATAGTCTGGAGAAATCAGCCCTGGGGTAGTGAGTTCAAAGTAGCACTCCAAGCCTATGGCACCCAGGTTCCACAGGTGCACCCAGCCTCAGGGAACAGTAGACCTAATTTTTGATTCTTCAGCCAGGTAGGGCACCCGTACTTGGTGCTTTGTCCCTACACCCTGCCACCATTCAATGCCGTTCCTCTCTGTTCATCTTCCCGCCAGATGTTCCCACTACCTGTGGCCAACGGAAAGGGCCGGCCTACCTCCCTGGCTGGAACCCAGTTTGGAGGCTCAGGTAGGACTGAGGGTCTTGGGGTGTGTTCATTAGGAAAGATGGATTGGGAGAATGGGCGGGGGGTGTCTCCTCAGGAGCTGGTTACATACATTTCTGTCCAGAGATGTGGTAGACAGTCCTGATGTTTTTATTTGTTTGTTTTTAAGACGGACTCACTGTGTGGCCTGGGTTGGCCTGGAACTCACTATGTAGACCAGGCTGGCCTCGATCTCACAAAGATCTGCCAGCCTCTGCCACTGGTGTGCTGAGGTTAAAGGTGTGCACCACTGCCCTGGTCAACTTCCCTGTCTTGTCTAGCCCATCTGTGAGGCCTAGGGTGCAGCCTGGCCTCCCCCACTGATTGCATTGAAGCAGATATTAGAGACTCGCTGTATATGTGGTGGTCTAACTTGCCAAGGACTGTGGGGAGGGAGGGGAACAGGACCTTCTTGGGACCCAGAAAATGTAAAGGACAAACAACTCACACAGACCTGAGCTAGTCAGTCATTCTGGAAGGAGCCATATGGGTATGAGGGGAAATGGCCTGCAGATAACCAGAGTGGTTTGTGCAAAGGTCCTGAGGCAGATGGCAAGGAAGTGTTGCAGGGTGGGCAGGCCGTGGTGGAAAGGGTGCTGTCTGTCTTGTAATTTGGTAATAGGGAGCCATGGAGGGTGTTGGGCAGACAGATGTGTACTGTGTTAGTGGGGACAGGGGGCCAGCACCCCCAGCTTTAACCTTGTCTTTCTAGGGTCTCAGGATCAGGGGCTACTAGGTCATGTCCCCACAGGCTCTGGGATGGCGTGAGCAGCCCTTGTCAGGTGCCCCTTAGGGGCTACTTCTTAGCTCTGAACAGAGGACGTGCTCGGGAGGCTGGTGAGATGGCTTGCACCCCACTCCAAAGCAAGACAGTGGCCAACCAGCTGGCTTTCCCCTCAGCCTGAGGAAGTGGCTGAGGGGCCGTCTGGGTGCTTCTAGAGGTCTGGAAATCCCCATGGGCCCCCACCACCCCAGAAGCAGCCCCCTTAACCCACAAGGGCTTGCCTTGGACAGAGGGTCAGGTCAGGCTGTCAGACACACAGGGTGTGGAGAGGCAGACCTTGTGCAGTGTCCACTCCTCCCCAACCCTTCCACAGACCCTCTGTAGCCAAGGCCTGTGCTCTCAGAGGTCAGAGCCAGGATCCATGGCCCCCTTGGCCACTGCTGCTGGGTGGGGCCACCGCTGCTAGGTGGGCCTTGACCCACAAGCCTGGCCTGGGGAGTAGGACCCTGCAGACATGGCCCACTGATTTTCATGATTTCTGTTCTGTCCCAGATCACCCTCCAGATTTGCCCTGTCCATCCTTGGCCCAGCATACACAAGAACAGTGTTTAGACCTTCAGGGGGCCCAGCATAGAGTGGTTTTGCATTGGGAGTACCTGTCCCTTTCCGGGACACATAGCTGACCAGCCCTTGGGCTCAGCTTAGTTTCATAGGTAAGACAACAGGAGGCCTACAAACAGGAGGGGTCCCCTCTTGGCCACCAGGCATGACACAGGCCATATCTACCATCATGGACTGCAGAAAGGGTATCCTCCCCATTCACAGAGGACTTGGCTTATACAGGAATGAGGGACATGCACAGTGGGTCCCATCAAGAGGTGCCAGGACAGGGCTGGCTACAGTTGTCCACTCCGGGGTGGTTCCTCAAGAACCTAGAACCCAGGAAGGAGTGCTCAGAGGTCCACCATGGGTCAGCCACCTGTTTAGAGGCCTGTCGACTTTACAGTGGATTTCCTCTCACGGACTTGAGCCCTTGTTACAAATTTGGTCAATATTTTTCCTTTCTTAACATTTCATTTTGAAATCACCTTTAAGTGTCAAGAAGGGTTTGGAACTCATAAAAGTATATCCACAGTGCCCCACATTCCACCCTATACAATTCTTTTTAAAATTTCATTTTAAATGTATGAATGTTAACCTGCATATATGTCAGTACATCATGTGCATGCAATGCCTGTGAAGGCCAGAAAAGGGTGTTAACTCCAGAACTGGAGTTAACAGTTGTGAACCACCATGTGAATGTTGGGAACTGTGAACCCAGGTCCTCTGCAAGAGCAGTCAGTGCTCTTAACTGCTGAGCAGGCTCTCCAGCCCATACAACTCTTGTTGGGGTTCAGTTGCTCTTTACATAGGAAAGGGCTCTGATTCTAATCTCTGCACAATGTCTCTGACTTCCTTGTTGCCAGGTAGATGAAATCACACTGTGAGCCATCATGTTCTCACATGGATGCATCTTGCTTAACAGAGTTCTCTGGAGACCTGTCCAAGTGATCAGTTTGGTTAATATCTAATTGTTTTACCATTGTCTGATCAGTGCTTTGAGAACCCCAGAACATTCCCACTACCATTTCTGTCTGTCATACCACAACCTCTGGTCATGTTCTGGGAGTTTCGGGTCCTCAAGGGTGCTGAGCAGGGACAAGATGGTGACTCCTGCAGTGCCAATCAAGAAGCGGAAACTTCCTGGGTTGCTTGAAATGCCTCATAGTTTTATTCTCCAGCACAAACTCAGTAGTAAGTTTGAGTTCCAGTAACTTGGTGGGGTTTATTTATATATTTATCGTATTTTATTCATGCTACTGAGGACCAGGCCAGGAGCCTCCACATTGCAAGACTCACCACCAAGCCCATCACTGGGGGATTCTAGGCTGTCACTCTACCCCTTAGCCATGGCCCCAGCCCTTCTCTGGGGGATTTTATGTTGTCATTCTACCTCTGAGTCATGGCAGCAGCCCTTACTAGTTTTTAAAATACACTCTGAAATTGGAAGTATAAGGCAGTGCTGGGACTCAGTTTGTAGAGCACTTTCTTAGCACACGAGGCCCTGGGTTCATCTCCAGCACCACATAAACCAGATGTGGTTCATCTCCCAGGTGGAGACAGGAGGATTGGAAGTTCAGGGTCATCCTTGGGTAGATAACAAGTTGTGGGCAGGCCTGGGCTACATGAGATCTTGTTGCACAAGCAAGGATTAAAAGACAGTCATTTTACTGTTCAGACTGGGTCACATATACTTTCCAAGAAGGGGTGTCTGGTCTTTCCTGTGTTGCATTATGGAAAACTTCCCTCCTGTCTTCTACTGGGTTACCTCTCTGTACCTCATATTTCTTTCCATCTGTCCAACAAGTCAGTTCGGTTAGGTACAGTCCCTGCACACACAGCCGCCTTTTCCAGCCCTTCCCCCCCTATACTGTCACCATAGATGGGCCTTTTGGCGTGACTAGTGGTTTCTTTCTGTTTTATTTTTATTTTATATGCATGAGTATTTTGCCTGCCTGTATATACGTGTACCACATGTGTGCAGTGCCTGAGAAGTCCAGAAGATGGCATGGAATCCCCTGAAACTGGAGCTCTGCATAATTGTGAGCTGCCTTATGGGTGATGGGAACCAAACCTGGGTCCTCTGCAAGAGTAACCAGTACACTTAACTGTTGAGCCATCTCTCTAGACTCTCATTTTGTTGTTTTAAGACAGGATCTCAGCCAGGCATGGTGGCACACGCCTTTAATCCCAGCACTTGGGAGGCAGAAGCAGGTGGAGCTCTGAGTTCAAGGCCAGCCAGGGCTACAGGGAGACCCTGTCTCAAAATAGACCGAAAAAAGACAAGGTCTCCCTCTAGTCCTGGCTGGCTTGGAACTCACTATGTAGACCAGGCTGGCTTTGATCTTACAGAAATCTGCCTCCCAAGTGCCGGGATTAAAGACCTGTGCCACCATAACTGAGCCTACCTTGTTTTTTGAAGCAAGGGCTCTCACTCAGCCTGGGACTGAGGGATCAGGGTGGACTGGCTGACCAAGCACCTCCCTTCGGGAACCTTCGGCCCCCCACATTCCCAACTCTGGGGTCACAAGAATGCACTCCTCACTTGTTAGGTGGGTGCTGGGGATTCAGACCCCAGTCATCGTGCTTGTGCAGCAAGCTCTTTGCTGTCTCCCCAGCCTCCACCAATGTGGGCCCCCCCTATACTGCACTTAAATTTCTGGCATATTCAGATGTGATTGGTTAGCTGAGCCTTTTCATTGGCCTGTGTTCTGGGGCATATCTCAGGCTTTACTGAGACTCTCAGGGATGATCGATCCAATTTCCTCTCAAGGATGTGTCCCCTCACCCACTGTGGCATTTAAGAAAATAAACACCCAAGCCACATGTCATCCCAGGAGGATCGTGAGTTCTAGGCCAGCCTGGTCTACATGGCACCAAGTTTCAAAAGTGAAGCCATCTCTTCACATGAGACTTCTCGATGTGCCAAGCAGCCTGTAAAGTTGCCTGCATGCTGTGGGTTCCAGGGGGCAGCCTGTGTCTGCCACCTCAACACATTTTCCTTTCTCCTGTCCTTTGTCCTCAACTTCAATGGTGTCTCCTTTTTCTGTCTGTTGATTTTCCACCAGAGGACCCACTCCTGTGGAGAGTCAATTTTTCTTCAGTCAGTCTTCATCCCTTCTCGTCTTAAAGTTTTCTGTTTTTCCTTTCTGGATTTTAGTATGGAAGGCACTAAGTGTTTACTTTTTTCTTTTTTGGCAGGGGCGAAAGGGTGCTGGAGATGAACTCAGGGCTTTCAAACATACTAGGCTTACCACCTTAGCTACAGCCCAGGCTCAAGGTTTGATTTAGAGTGATTTTAAAAAATGGGTGGGCTGGGGGCATGGCTCAGAGGTAGAGACAGCCTAGAGCCCCCTATTGAGAGGGTGGAGTCCTGCCTAGAATCTTATCTGCCAGTTCTGCATGATCTGTCGAGGTCATCTACCAGGACAGAGTGCTTGGTTTTCTGTGTCATGCTGTCTCACGTTTTGGTCATTGGTCACATACGGGCATCTATGTTAATTTTGTTTTGGTTTTTGGAGAGTGAGTATCATGTAGTCCAGGCCACTTTAGTTTCTCCCACAGGCTTTTGGGGCTCTGTGGGTGGAGTGAGAGGGAGGGTCAGTAGCCCTGCTTTGGGGAGGCCTCTTATCCTGCCTGGGACAGAGTCAGACAAGTCCTGGATGGAAACTGGCACTTGTGTATGGACCCTGACTGCAGCTGACTGCCCTAGGGGTGAGGGGAGGGGGCTCTTTAGTCCACAAGCTTGGTTTGAGAGCAGGTGGGAAGCCAGTGCTAAGTACAGCCTGCATAAAGGCACAGTAGTTAAGTGGGCTGTGTGCCAATAAAACTTTATTTACAAAAACAAGTTGGGCCAAAATGCCAACATCCCCCATAAAAGAATTGAACTCAGAGCATAGGCTGTCTTGATGAACCAAACCCTGGGTTGGGGGGATGGCCCGCAGGCAGGCAGGCAGGCACTTGCCTTCTCCAGTCTCCCCTTCGCAGAATAGGGAGAGAGCATCAAAAAAGCAAACTGACACCCAGACAGCCACAGCTTGCTCTAGTAGTCTGAGAGTAAGGGCTGTACTATGAATATTCATGTCAGGGTTGTTAAGATGCGTGATTTATCAGTAGGTTGATTTTACTAACTTAATGGGGGAGGGGACTCTTGATTTTTGTCATTTATAGAATGGAGAAGGGCATGATTTGGAGTAGAGGGTCTCTGGAAGTCTTATGACATCTGCCTGGGGTGCCCTCGATGGACCCCAGGAACCCTGGAAAAGCCTTCAGTATTTTTAGGCCCTCAGGTGGGGTACTGGGTACCAAATTCGAAACCGCCCTGAATTGCTGTGACTACTGTTGGGGACAGGCCCGTGCAGCATCCTAAGTTCCCCCCCTGCACCCAAGTTTATCTTGATGGGAGAATGATGGGGGTCCACAATCCATTGTGCATCTAGGCTCATTCTGTCAACCTACCTTGGCCTTACTGTGAGCTACAGTGAGCAGCCTAAAGTTTTGGGGTGTAGATACTCCCAGACTGGGCACCCAATGCTGAATACTACCTCTCACCAAGGTGGCATCCTAACCCCCAAGTGGGGTCACAGAGGAAATTTTCTGTCCTGAAATGTGGGCAGGGAACTAACCAATGTATGAATATTCATGAGACCGGAGATTAATATGCATAATTATACAAATTAGACTGCAATTAAACATCAGTTCTGGGGGATGATGGATGATGAACTTGTACAAGGGCTGGAAGAGAAGCTACAATTTGAAAGAATTGCTGTCTGAAAGAAGTTTCTGGTGTAGAGCTGAAGTGGGGGGCTTGGGATACAGAGGAGGAGTGGGGCAGCTCAAGTGCCTCTGAATTCAAAATTTGGGCCTGTATATAGGCTTGTTTACCCAGTGGAGAAACTGAGGCAAACACTGTGGCCAGGCTGAGAAGTGGGGGGAGGCGCAAAGTTGGGTTGTGGGTCTGGTATGTGGGGACAGAACATGCCAGTAGGGGCGGTTAGCTGCATGTGTGCAGTGTTGGGGGAGATAAGGGCCTCACCCTGCCTCACCCCACCCTGGTCCTCTTAGTCTCCAGGCAGGTTAACCCCTGCCGCCCCTCAACAGACCCTTCACCTTTTTAGGTATTCCTGGCAAATAGGGTCCCTCCTTTGCCCACTGAGCCAGCCAGTCTCCCTAGTGGAGGCCCCAGATCCCAATTCCAAGGTCTCAGTGACCCCATGAATATTTCTCTACAATTCCTGACTTAAGTTGCCCTGTGTGGTCACTCCAGGCCCGAGACAGAGGCCTGGCCCGAGACTTGAGTGGGTACAACAGCTGGGGTTTGGGCCGGTGGGTAGGACGCCGCCAGCAGAGTCCCAGGGAGTCAGAAGTCAGTCAGTGGCACGGACTTGGGGTGCAGTTGAATTAGGGAGGGTTCTCAGAGTTCTCTAGGTCCCTTGACTGGGATTCCATTTGTCTCCCACAGGCCTTGAGGAAAGGCCCAGCTCCGGTTCCTGGAGTGCCAGTGACCAGAACAGCTCTTCCTTCGACCCTAGCCGGGTGAGACACCTCTGGGAGGCCCAGGGCCCTGGGTCTCGTCTCCTGGACGGAGGGACAAGAAAATAGCTTGTTGGTCACTCTGAGGGGCGGGTAGCTGTAGCCATAGTGTGGAACTAGCAGGTCTATTATCCCCCATTCCCCAATCACATGTAGCTCAGGAGCACTAACACCCCATACTTCACACCCTGCCTTGTCTCCCCTAGACCTACACCGAAGGCACCCACTTTAGTGAGTCTCACAACAACCTGTCTTCATCCACGTTCTTAGGACCGGGGCTTGGAGGTGAGTGTTGGCAGTCTTTGGTTGACCCTAAGGTATCCTCAAGGTACCACAGGGCAGTGGAGTGCCTGCCATCTGGACAGTAGGCCAGGCCTGCTAAACCATGCCCCCAGATCCTGGGTAGTAAGCTCAGGAAGGTTACCATTGTAACTCATAGCCAGATCTGGTCTGGGCTGACCCCCGGATCTTTCCAACATGGCTCTGCTGGCCCCTGCACCTGGCAGTTGAAAGTTCTCTGTCCAGTTCCTTCCCCCTGGTCTCAAGTGTCCTGCTCTGCCATGACCACAGGACAGTTCCCACAGATGCTATTGGTCAGCAATGTCTGCAGCCAGCTGTGTCCGGTCCCACCCACCTCCCGTTCCCTCTTCCCCCTTTCCCCTTCCCCATGGCAGACCCCCTGAGTGTGCTGAGGGCTGACAGGGTCAGCAGCCTTCCAAATCCCAGCTCTTGGGAAGCTGAGGCAGAGGGATGGCCAGTTCTAAGCTAGCCTGAGCTAGCTGCATGTAAAGACCATGTTTTAACACATAAAAAGCCTGGTACGGTGATGCATTCATGTCATCCCAGCAATTGGGAGGTGGCGGCAGGAGAATCAGGAGTTCAGAGTCATCCTTAGTTACATGGAGAGTTTGAGCCAGTCTGAGCTACATGACACCCTGACTTAAGAAAAAATATTGAGAGCTGGTCCAGTCTTAAGAGTACTGGCTACTCTAGCAGAGGACCCAGCAGGTACTGTTTCCAACACTCACATGTCAGCTATCATCTGTAACTCCAGTTCCAGGGGATCTTCCGGCCTCTGCAGTTATTGTGTGCATGCGGTGCGCTTACATACATTCAGGCAAAACACTCAGATAAAGAAATTAATAATTTATTTTACTTTTTTGTTCATTTTAAGACAAGGTAACCCTATAGCCCCACCTGGCCTTAATTTGCACCACTGCTCCTGGCTATAAAAAAATTTTTTTGGTCTTTGAGACCAGGTCTACCTGTAGCCCCAGCTGTCCCGGAACTCACTATGTAGACCAGGCTGGCCTTGAACTCAGAGAGATCGCCTGCCTCTGCCTCCCGGGTGCTGGGATTAAAGGCATAAAAATTTTCATGGTTTCCTTGTAGCCCTAGCTGGCCTGAACTCACTATGTACACCAGACTGGCCTTGATCTCACAGGCACCATCTTGCCTCTGCCTTCTGAATGCTGGGATTAAAGGTGTGCACCACAACCTTCACAAAAACATTGTACAGCTAGGTGTGGTGGTGTGCATGCCTGTAATCCCAGAGGAGGCAGAGGCAGGCAGATCTCTATGAGTTCTCTATGAGTTCCAGGCTAGCCTGGTCTGCATAGCAAGTTCCAGGCCAGCTGGGGCTACAGGGAGACCCTGTCTCAAAAATACACACAAAAAAATTTGTACAAAGATAGTCCTACCATCCCCCAGAGCCCCCCTTGTCCCCTATTCTGTGTCCAGGGGGACTAGGCAGCTGGTCCCATGCAGAAGCCCAACACAGTTTTCTCATGTGTATGGACTCATGAGCACTTGCTGTATGCAAGCAGGACCCTACTTAAAGTGCCCTCCTGGTTTCCTTTCCTCCCTGTAGGCAAGGGCAGCGAACGTAGCGCCTATCCCACCTTCGGGAGAGACACTGGTGTCAGTGGGCTGAGTCAGGTAAGCTTAGGCAGAAAGGTGGGGCCAGCCTGTGCAGTGCTATCCAGGTGACCCTAGGTCTAAGGCTTCCCTTGGTCCCTTCACCTCCCCAAACTGTTGTGTCCCTCCCACTGACTCCAGAGTCACAGGGTGCCTTCTGGCCTTTGTTCCTGTTATTTCCTTGTGCCTCTGCCATGGTAGATGCAGCTGTTACACATCAAATGGATACCAGGCTGTGCATGGAATATGGTCATATTCACATCACCCCCACAAGTAGAGCCAACTATGTGCCTGGTCCATGGTACATGGAGATAGGGTGGTTGCCCACCTGAAGACAGCTGAGCAGAACTGAGGGGATGTAGGTTGGTCTTGAACCCTGGACCTGCTGCCCACAAGGGCAGCCACTAGAGGGCGGTGCACAGACCTTGTAGGTAAGACATAGGGTGGCATCTGTCCCCCAAAGAAGAAAAAAGGTGGCTCCTAGCCATCACCTGGATAGATTGACCATAGTGATTAGAAGGAAGAAGCTGTGGGTCTGGAGAGCTGGCTCAGTGGCTAAGAGTGCTGGCTGCTCTTGCAGAGTACCCAGGTTTGGTTTCCAGCACCCACATGGTGATTAACAGCCATCTATAACTCCAGTTTCAGGGGATCTGACACCCTCTTCTGGCCTCTGCAGACATTGAACACATGGGTACACTTACATACATGTAGGCAAAATACATGGACAGAAAATAAAACATTTTAGGAGGCAGAGGTGGTATACATACCTCCTGGATTCAATGGGAAACTAAGGCTCATGGTCCCGTCCCCCCACCCCCAGCCCTGCCATTGGGGCTTTGCACTTCAAACTTGGTGAGTCTCCAGCAGGGCTCAGCCCTAGTTGCAGATGTCAGCCCAGCATGGCCTGGTGTCTGTCCCCAGGCTGCCTTCCTGCCCAGCGAGCTGGGCCTCAGCAGTCCCGGGCCACTGTCCCCATCAGGCGTCAAGAGTGGCTCCCAGTACTACCCCTCCTACCCCAGCAACCCTCGGCGAAGAGCTGCAGATGGCGGCCTGGGTGAGTTGGGGGCTGGGGTGCGCAGGGAAGGGACAATCATGACAGACTGAACCCTGGACTGTGTCAGACACAGACAGGAAGACAGACAGTTGTAAACCAGAGGGCCAAGGGTCAGGACAAAGGGTGCTGCACCCCAGAGCCAAACCAGTGCCCCCAGAGGTGTCCTGGGTGAGAATCTGTGACCTGTAAACAATGCTCAGGTGACCATGCCAGGATAGGGGGATGGTGCTGGTGTTGCTTTTGGTCTGGTAGGGGCTGAGCTGACTTCTCAAACTTCCTCTGTATATGGGAACCCTTTCTGTTTTGTTTTTTCGTTTTGGAACCCAGTTGGGTGGAACCTCAGTCTGTTATTGAACGGGATCCCCACATCCACTGGGGGTATACAGCTCCCGAGACCCACCCAGCAGGCAGGGTCCACGTGAGGGCAGCCAGGGAGAACAGCTGACAGATCTCACCCGTTTCTCTTTTTCCCAACAGATGCCCAGCCCAAAAAGGTCCGAAAGGTTCCACCCGGTCTTCCCTCCTCGGTGAGTGGTGGAACAGTCCAGTCCCTATGGCTTGTTGGATTTTTCTGTGCCAGGAGCTAATAGCACATTCTGAGTGCCATTGTCAGAATGAATTCAAATTGAATGTAAGCCCCAGAAGTACTTCAGATCCAGCCTCACTGCTGCTTTAGAAGGGTCCTGTGGCCATGGCCTCTTATGTGGTGTGATTGGGGCCCTGTGAACCAAACTAGGGCAGGCAGGTCCCTTCTGGTCCCCATCCCCACCCACCTGCTGGGACTGTGGAGTGCTCCCGCCCACTGACTTGTTGCTTGGCCGGCTGCCAGGCCCAGCAGATGGTGGCCGGCCTTCTGTGGTTCACAGTGCTGTGCCTGTGATTTAATCATGTTAAAGGTGGTGTGCTGGATTCTTTAGCATGAACACTTTCTCCTATGCTGCCTGGGCCACAATGCTGGCCACCAGGAACCTCAGGTCACCCTTTCAGGAGTGGATACCCCACCCTGGGCCAGCTGTGCTCTTACCAGGCCCTGTTCAGAATCAGCTGGATGACCCCAAACAGACGAACTTAAAACAGACGAGCGATATTTGGGGGCCTGGTGTGATAACGCCTGTCTCCCCAGCACAGGAGGCTGTGGCAGCAAGATTATGAGTTCTAAGCTAACCTCAGCTACTAGCAATGCCCAGTGTAAAGAAACAGCCTCACTGGGTGTGGTGGTGCCCACGTGTAATCCCAGCACCCTATGAGATCAAAGCCAGCCTGGTCTACATATCAGGTTCCGGGCCAGCTGTGGCTGTAGGGAGACCCTGCCTCATCCCTGCCTTCTCTGTCTGCAGCCCTGGGTTCCTCATTAGCCTCTGGAGTTTCCCTTGATTGGGAGACTGAGATGAGTAGTGTGGGGGACATAGGCCAAGTCTCCCCAGGAACAGGCATGTAACTTGAGGAGAGCTGATATCCAATGTAAAGTGAGTGCTATGGCCAACAGAACCAGATCATGCTGAGCAGACATCAGCCTGGCTGCCTTGGACCTTGAGACCCATGCTGCTGGTGACCTGCCTGCTACCCTGCCAGGGCATGAATGAACAGAGCTTCCCCCTCCCAAGAACTCTGCCAGGGCAGGCTAGCAGATCCCCAAGCTGTCCCATCAGGCCTAGGCCAGGGAAGTCCTGTGCCAGGGAAGGCATTAGCAGCAAATCCCCAGGCTGTCCCATCAGGCCTAGGCCAGGGAAGTCCTGTGCCAGGGTAGGCATTAGCAGCAGATCCCAGCACTGTCTCATGCATGCACTGTTAAGAGTTGTAGGTAGCACCAGCTGGTTGGAGTTGGGTTCAGTTGTTGTTTCTGCCCCTTCTGCAGCAGCTGCTGCGGGGTGGCCAGGGCCTGATGTAGCCCAGACCTCTGTCTCTGAGGTCCAGGCTCCTGTGTGGCTGCTAGAGAGACGAGGTTTGCAGCACTGACGGGTATTAGAGGGGAAGGGGAGCACTGGGCATTTCAGGAGGGCTTTTGATGAGTCTCGAGTTCATCACATGGAGGAAAGCTAAGGTGGTAAAGGGAAGGTGTCCCCAGTGTCTCCAGCTCTGGGTCCTGGGTCTGAGAATAGCTCTGGGTTCTAGGAGAACAGGGAAGGGAGTGGAGAACCAGCTCAGTGGTTAAGAGCACTGGTTTCCAGCACCCACTTGGCAGCTTACAACCATTTGTAACTCCAGTTCTGGGGATCTGATGCCCTCTTCTGACCTCTGAGGGCACTGCACTTATATTCAGGCAAACCTGAATATACACAGAATAAAAGTAAATAAAGTTAAAAAAAGTAAAAAAAAAAAAAAGTAAATAAAAGTTGCTGGGCATGGTAGCCCATGCCTTTAATCCCAGCAGAGGCAGGCAGATTTCTGTGAGTTCAAGGACAGCTGGGGCTACAGGGAGACCCTGTCTCAAACAGACCAAAAAAAAAAAAAGTAAATAAGTCATGTATGTTTTTTTGGAGACAGGGTTTCCCTGTAGCCCCAGCTGACCTGGAACTCACTGTGTAGAACAGGCTGGCCTTGAACTCACAGAGACCCACTAGCCTCTGCCTTCCGAGTGCTGGGATTATAGGCGTGCACCACCACACGTGGCTAATATATCTTTTTTTTTTTAAAAAAATAGCTGGGCGTGGTGGTGCATGCCTTTAATCCCAGCACTTGGAAGGCAGAGGCAGGAGGATCTCTGTGAGTTCAAGGCCAGCCTGGTCTACATAGTGAGTTCCAGGACAGCTGGGACTACTAGGAGACCCTGTCTCAAAAAAGACCAAACAAACAAATAAATAGATAAATAAATAAATATAGGGAAATGATAGGCAGGCATGGGGCAGGCAAGGCCTGTTCCTGCACCTCTCCTGCCTGACCCTGCACTCTGACTTCAGGTGTACCCACCCAGCTCAAGTGACAACTATGGCAGAGACACTGCAGTGTACCCTTCCACCAAGACCCCTGGCAGCACCTACTCCACCCCCTTCTACATGGCAGGTGTGTGGGGCTCCAGGGGTGGGGGCCTGTAGGGCTTGGGGTTCCTCTATCTCACCATTTGCCTCTCCACAGATGGCAGCCTGCACCCCTCAGCTGAGCTCTGGAGTCCCCCTGGCCAGGCGGGCTTCGGGCCCATGTTAGGTGACAGCTCATCCCCTCTGCCCCTCGTGCCAGGAGGCAGCTCCGTGGGTGGTGGTGGAGGAAACGGCGCCTTTGGGGGACCCCATCAGCAGGAACGCATGGTGGGTAACATGGATGGGATCTGGGTTGTGCCACCCTATCCTTTGACCAACTGCCTGGCTTCTGCCCCTCGTCCACCCATCCACTGTCCAACTGACTCCTTAGAGCTACCAGCTGCATGGAGCCGAGGTCAATGGTGCACTTGCAGCAGTTTCCAGCTTCTCAGCCACCCCTGGAACCTACAGTGGGACTTCTGGCCACACGCCACCCGTGAGCGGGGCAGACAGCCTCATGGGTAAGGGGCCACCCACACCTAAATTATCCTGTGCCCTGGGTGGGAGGCACAGGGGTAAGCAGTAGGGAGGGTTTCATGCAGACTGGGGACTTGCTGAGCCCCAGTGCTAGTCACTTTGGGCCCCTCCCCAGGCCATCCCAGATTGATCGTGGTACATTAGGAACTGGGTTTGTGAAATGTAGGTTTCCCACTTTGCAGTGGGGTGAACTGAGGCAAGGAGGAAGCCTCATTCACCCAGGAGGTAGGTGTCAGTTTTAGACAACACCTGGATGTTAGTCATGGCTACTGGGCCCCCGGGGGATTCAGAAACAGGAGAGGACCTGCCCATTGCCAGCAGGATGGGACCCCTGAGGCCTGGCTTATCTCTCTCCCCACAGGTACCCGAGGGTCCACAGCCAGCAGCTCAGGGGATGCCCTAGGGAAGGCGCTAGCCTCGGTGAGCAGGGGCCCAGGCTAGAGTGGGCAGGGGCTAGTGACTTTGCAGTGACCCTTAACTGCCTTTCTCTCTGTCCCCACCACCCCAGATCTACTCCCCTGAACACTCTGGCAATAACTTCTCTCCCAGCCCCTCAACGCCTGTGGGCTCGCCACAGGGCCTGCCAGGTATGTGGGGGTCAAAAGGGTGGGGACTGGCACGGGAGCCCTACAAGGAAGAACCCACCATGGGGATAGGTTCAGTACCAGGCTCCTCATAACACATGTACCCAGGCCCCAACCCTGGCCAGGCAGTGAAAGATGGTGTCCAGATGAGGGTTCAGTTCAGCCTGGGTTCAGAGTACCCACCTGGGCCTTACCACTTGACAGATGTTAGATACCAACTCCATACCTCTGGCTTGCCTCTGGTGAGGGACACAGACTCTCCAAGGTGGGGCGTGCCCAGGCATCAACTAGAGGGGGCAAGGGAAAGTGGGGGCCTAAGGCTTTTTGAAGGTTCTGGAGTTGGGCTAAAAATAGCCCACTTTGCTGGGCATGGTGGCACACACCTTTAACCCCAGCAGAGGCAGGCAGATCTTTGAGTTCAAGATCAGCCAGGGGTGCCTAGTGAGACCCTGTCTCAAAATACAAAGTGGGGACTGGAGAGATGCTCAGTGGTTAAGAGCACTGGCTGCTCTAGCAGAGGACCTGGGTTTGGTTCCCAGCACCCACAAGGCAACTAACAACCATCCATAACTCCAGTTCTAGGGGATTTCCTGCCCTCTTCTGGCTTCCATGGGTATTGCACACACATAGTTCACATACATATATGTAGGTAAATACACTCATACACATGAAATGATAATACAAAAATTCTAAAATAAAACCCTGCTTGCTAATCAGTTCTCACTGTGGCCTGCCCAGTCACCCCTGGAGCTCACCACCTTTTTTGTTGCTTGAGCTGAGGGCATTTGGCCCAGATTTTGGAGAGGGCAGACAGGAACTACCCAAGGCTTTGTTGTGCACTTGAGGCTGCTTGCCCCAGGCTTGAGTGTGCTGGCTCAACAGATGTGGACCTGGTTCTGGGATCAGTGATGACAACCCTGCCCATGAGGCTCTCTAGTTCAGAACAGAAAAGTTCTGAAGATTTAGGAGGGTCAGGTGTCCCTGAGTAGCCATCTAGAGCATCATGAGTCCTCTGAGGACACCCAGCTATGCATGAGTTCATCTGTCCCTGCCCTGCCTATCATCCCCGCTCAATGCTTATCTTTCTTCTCCAGGGACATCGCCATGGCCCCGGGCAGGAGCACCCAGTGCCTTATCACCCACCTATGATGGAGGTCTCCATGGCCTGGTAAGTTGTCCACTCTCGAATTGGCTACGGCAACCAGTGGCAATCCTGTACCATCCTATCACCAATAAAATTATGAAGGGAAATCACCTAAGGAAGAGCTTGGGACCGGCACCCAAAATGGAGAAACCTCTGGTCAGCCAGGCCATGGCTGAACCCCAGCAGACCCACAGTGTGAGGAGGGCCTGCACAGGGCCATCTACTCCTGCTGTGCTGGGGGCTTAGTAAACAGAATGCTTTTAGCTCGGGTTAGAGTGCTTGGAGCTCAGTGGGTACAGTGCTTGCCTAGCATGCACCAAGCCCCAGGTTCTATTCTCAGCACCACATAAACCAGGTCTGGTGGCTCACACCTCTCATCCCAGTACTTGGGAGGCAAAGGCAGGTGGATTTCTGTGAGTTCACAGCCAGCCTGGTCTGCACAGTGAGACTGTATCTTAAAAAATAAGGGGCAGGAGAGCCAGCTCAGCAATCAAGAGCACTGGTTGCTCTTGCAGAGAACCCAGGTTCAATTCTCAACACTCATATGGCAGCTAATAACCATTGGTAACTCCAGTTCCAGGGGATCTAATGTCCTCTTCTGGTCTCTGCAGGCATTGCACAAATGGGTACACTTACATAAATGCAGGCAAACACTTATACACATAACATTTTTTTAAAAACTTGGTGTGTACATGTGTGTGTGCTCTTGAGCGCATGCCCTACTTTCTCTTACAGCAGAACAAAATGGAGGACCGCCTGGATGAGGCCATCCATGTCCTCCGCAGCCATGCTGTGGGTACTGCCAGTGACCTCCATGGACTTCTACCTAGCCATGGAGCACTGGCCACCAGCTTTACAGGCCCCATGCCACTAGGTGGGCGACATGCCAGCTTGGTAAGTGTCAGCCTGGTACAGGGGTGGGGTGGCACATGGGACCCTAGCCACCTTGATGTGTCCCTCTCCCTTTCCTAGGTCAGTGGCAGCCACCCAGAGGATGGCCTCACAGGCAGTGCCAGCCTTTTGCACAACCATGCGGCCCTTCCCAGCCAGCCCAGTGCTCTCCCTGACCTCTCACAGAGACCGCCGGACTCCTACAGTGGTGAGTCTGTTCCCTGAGCAGGGAAGGACAGAATTACTGTCACTTGAGGAGGCAGCTCAGTCAGTAAAATGCTTGCTGTATGTACAAGCACAAGGAACTGCATTTGATCCCCAGCATCCATTTAAAAAGCTGGGTGCATGGGCTGGAGAGATTCTCGGCAGTTCAGAGAACTGGCTCCTCTTACAGAAGACCTGGGTTCAGTTCCTAGCACCCACATCATGGCTAACAACTGTCTGAAACTCCAGTTCCAGGGGATCCGATGCCCTCTTCAGATCTCTGAGGGCATTGCAATGCATGGGTGCACTTACCTACATGCAGGCAAAATAATCATACATACATATAAAGTAGAAATAAGTTTAAAAAAAAATTTTTTTGTCCTTCTATTTATTTATTTTTTTTGGTCTTTTTGAGACAGGGTCTCCCTGTAGCCCCAGCTGTCCTGGAACTCAACTATGTAGACCAGGCTGGCCTTGAACTCACAGAGATCTGCCTGTCTCTGCCTCCCGAGTGCTGGGATTAAAGGCATGCACCACCATGCCCCTCTCTTTTTTTGATCTTTTGAGACAGGGTCTCCCTGTAGCCGAAGCTGGCCTAAAGCTCACTGTGTAGATCAAGCTGAATAATGGGATTAGAGGTGTATGCCACCATGCCTGGCAAAAAAAAAATTTTAAAGCCAAGTCCAGTGACTTGTGTGGCAAGTTGAGATAGGAGAGTCCCTGGAGCTCACTGATCAACCAATCTGTCTGGGTTGCGCAGCTCCAGGTTCAGTGAGAAACTCAGCCTTGAGGGGTTAAGGCAGAGAGGGTCACAGCATAGGACAACTGATCTCCTCCTCTGGTCTCCATGCGTACTCCTGCACCCATACATACACACACACAGAATTATGTAGAACTTTGTCAAGGAAGGCATGCAACATTCATCTCTGAACTACAGGTGTGTGGACACACACATAAAAGAATGCCTGTCTTTTGTCACTTAGGACCCAAGAGCTATCTGGCAGCCTGACTCCACTGTCCAAATCTTCACTATGGCCCTGGGCCTTGGGACCATTGAGCCCGAATTCCAGTTGGAGAAACTGAGGCACGAGGCTAGGACAGGGTGCCCAGGGTTTGGTTTTTGTTCTTGTGTTTGAGACAGGACCTCAATGTATAGCCCTGGCTGGTCTAGAACTACTGTGTAGATCAGCTTGGCTCACCTGCCTCTGTTTTTTATTTTATTTTAGATCATCTCACTATGTAGCACAGGCTGATCTTGAAACCACAATCCTCCTATCTCAGCCTCCCAAGTGTTGGGATGACAAATGTGCACAATTTAGCCACTCTTCCTGAATTCCAAGAATTTATTCCCTTCCCTAGTTTACAACAGGAGTCTAACATATTTTCTTCTAAAAGTTGTGAACTCACCTTTTAATCCTTGTGGGTTTTATTCTGTCTGGAATTGGTATCTGTATGATGTGAGATCCGATTCAGATCTGGTTTCAGGGTTAGGTGGGAAGACTGGTTTGCATGAGGTAGGGATCCAATTCTAATTTTAACACGAGACTCTGTACAGCCAACTCTTACCATCTCGGTGTAAGGTAGGGATCTTACTATAACCTTGATGTGAGATGGTGATCCTACTCTAACCTTGGTATGAGGTAGGGTGTGACTCATCCTTGGGTGAGGTAGGAATTAGACACTAATCTTGATGTGGTAGGGATCTGACTAATCTTGTGTGAAATAAGGATCCAACTCTAACATCAACGTGAAGTAGGTATCAGACTAATCACTATGAGGTCAGGGTCCCACTCTAACCTTGGTGTGAGGTAGGGGACTGACTGTAATCTCAATTGCAGTTATTTCCTTGTTTTTGCTCTGTTTTTCATTTATTTCCCCCACAAAGATGCTATGCCCTGAAGAAGCATGCTCAAGGGGCCCCTGGGAACCCTTGGAAGCTACTGCCACCCCTCACCCCAGGTTTGTTGCAGGACTTGGGAGGGCAGGCACCACAGCGGGTGCCAGCGAGATCAAGCGGGAGGAGAAGGAAGATGAGGAGAATGCTTCGGTGGCCGATACCTCAGAGGAGGACAAGAAAGAGCTGAAGGCCCCTCGAACGAGGACCAGGTGCCAAACCCCTCTCCCCATGGCAACACACATGCCAGACACCACTCACACACATGTACAAGTGTGCGCACACATCACACATACCTTGGGAGGCTGTGCAGGCCACCGCGTCACCTCACTGTCTCCCTCTGGCCCCTGGCCCCCTCCCCCATAGCCCAGACGAGGACGAGGACGACCTTCTCCCCCCAGAGCAGAAGGCCGAGCGGGAGAAGGAGCGCCGGGTGGCCAATAACGCCCGTGAGCGGCTGCGGGTCCGCGACATCAATGAGGCCTTTAAGGAGCTCGGCCGCATGTGCCAGCTGCACCTGAGCAGCGAGAAGCCGCAGACCAAACTGCTCATCCTGCACCAGGCCGTGGCCGTCATCCTCAGCCTGGAGCAGCAGGTGCGAGGTCAGTGGGCGGCCCGCGCCCCGCGATGCTCCCTTCCCTGCTGCCGGAGCCAGAGCGCAGTGACTGACCCCCTCACTGACCAGCCCTGGCACCCCCTCTCCCCCAACCCAGCCCGTACCCTGTACTCACTGTTCCCTGTACTCACTGTTGTCTTCAACTGATTGGCCCACAGTGACTATTCCCTACACTGGCCAGCTCTCACCTCACGCTAACTGTCCCTCACACCGATGGTCCTCTGACGTCTCCTTCAGCAGGTGTCCTTGGTACCAGCCACCCCCATCTACAACATGTCCACACCATCTTTCCCACACCAGCTGTTCAGACACGACTGTTCCACACATAGACTGTTCCCCATGGCTAGTATCTCCCCACATGGACTGCCTCTTCCCCATACTGACTTCCTTATACTGACTTCCCCACACTGACTGTTGCCCACACCGACTGCCTCCCCACACCAGCTGTTCCTTACACCAACTGTTCTTCACACTGCCTCTCACACCAACTGTTCCCCACACTGATTGTTACCCACACTGACTGCCTACTCACACTACTGACTATTCCATACACTGGCCTTCCCACACAAACTTTCCCACATGCTGTCTCCCCTAACTGACTTCCACACATCAGCTACACCCTGCACTCTGTCTGTGCACAAATGCTCCCCGACAAACTGTTCCCCTATGCCAACTCTCCCCCACAGTCATTGTTTCCACACTGACTGGCCCTAACACTGACCAGTCCCTACACTGACTGGTCACAACACTGGCCCCCATGCTGACAGGTCCCTACACTGACCAGCCCCTGTTTCTGTGGCAGTTGTTCCCTCCCTACTGATGACCCTCCACCTTCCTGACCTCAGGGTCAACCTCTCTGACAGGCCCTGACTTCTTCCCTGCTGGCCCTGCTGGCCTGAGGTCATTAGGCAAGAACTGTCCCAGGCCCCAGGCTCTTGCTTGCTTGACCTCAGTCCCGAGCCTGGCTGTTGAGGGCCAGGGTCCCCAAGAACTTAGAGCCACCATCTCTGTTCATCTTAAGCACATGCTCTGGGGCACCTGGCACCCATCCCTTCCCCTGACTCAGTTCCCCCATCCAAGAGAATGTTAATCTGCCCAGCCCAGGGCTGGTGATGGAGGACGACACTGCACTCTGCTGTTCCCCTAACCTGCGCTCGCCCCGCCTCTTGGTCACTTTCTCTCTGCAGCATGTGCTGGGACTGGCCAGCCGCCTGCTGTCCCCTGGCTCGAAGGTCTCTGTTCACAACAGCCGAATGCGTGTGCCACCTATGTCCCTTGAGCCCGCCTGTCTGCTCTCTGCCTCTTAAGCTGTCCCCTCTGCCCTGACTGTCCCCTGCCTTTGCTTGCCACCCGCCGCCCCTCACCTCGCACCTGCTGCCCTGTGGATGGGGCCAGCCGCACGGCAATTGAGGGGCCTTTTGTCCCCCAAAGTCCCACTGGGCCTCCAGGGAAGGAATGGGACCGCATGGCACAAAGCCTCTGGTGCCCACATGCAGTTTGGTCTGTGCGCTTGTCCTGAGGTCCGGTGCCACTGTCGCCACCCAGAGGGATCAAGAGCAGCAGGCCAGGGAAGAGTGGAAAAGGGCACCAGGCCAGGGTCAGGCATAGTGACACACACACCTCAAAACCTGAGAGCTTTGTGAGGTTGAGGCTACCTAATGAGACTACACCCCCGTCTCAGGCATGTTGGACGTAATGTGTCCCCATTCACAGCGTCACTGCTAAGGGAGGTGACTGGTGCCTGTTCTCTCAGAGAGAAAACGAGATAGTAAGATCCTTGGACCCTGGAAGTTGGTGCTCCAAGCCCAGCTTGGGTGGCCGTGTCTTTGAGGCTTGGGGATGCAGGGCTTAGGCCATGCCATGTTTGCTGCTGTGAGCCATGACTCAGCTTGTAGCTCAGTGGGTAGAGTGCCTATAGCTCAGTGGGATAAGCCCAATGTCCACTGCTGCCTTGCGGGGAAGCCGAGCCCCACTTTCTATCCCCAGAGCATCTAGAGACATGGTGAGGTTTTAGTTATTTGTAGAGTGATACCCAGCCTCCCGGAGATAAGGGTCTAAAGACACAGCAGGCAGCCACGCATGGCGGACAGGTGCCCATGAGGATGTGTTGCCTCCACATGACATGACCATGCACAGAACAGAGCCATCACCAATGAGCATGCACATATTCCCTGCATTGGCTGTCACCCAAATTGTCACTTTCCATCAGTCACACACAAGAGCACACAGCAGCCCCTGCATTGTGGTCCTCCCTGACGGAGGCCCGGTGCTGTGACCCAGCAGTACGGACGAGGTGCTGTCTCTGGAAGAGAAGGATTTGAGGGACCGGGAGAGGCGCATGGCCAATAACGCTCGGGAGCGGGTGCGTGTGCGTGACATTAACGAGGCCTTCCGGGAGCTGGGCCGCATGTGCCAGCTACACCTGAAGTCGGACAAGGCTCAGACCAAGCTGCTGATCCTGCAGCAGGCCGTGCAGGTCATCCTGGGCCTGGAGCAGCAGGTGCGAGGTAGGCCGTGCCCATCTAGTCCAGCCATGCCCAACCCTGCCACTGGCAGCAGGCAGACACCAAGTCCCCCACCCCTCCCCACCCCCATCCCAGGAACCGTCTCCCACTGCACTCTCCTCCTGTCCCCAGAGCGAAACCTGAATCCCAAAGCAGCCTGCCTGAAACGCAGGGAGGAGGAGAAGGTGGCTGGCGTAGTCGGGGACCCCCAGCTGGCGCTTTCAGCTGCCCACCCTGGCCTGGGCGATGCCCACAACCCAGCAGGACACCTGTGAGCCATGGTGAGACCAGGGACCACTGCACTCTGCGTCCATGCTGCACCCAGGACAGTCCTCAACATGGCTGAAGGTTGGCACATCACTGGCAACACGGCACCAGTGCAAGGGACACTGCTCCGCCGTGCAGCCTGCAGTCACTGTGGCCCAGTGACCACTGCCACTGTGTGTCTTGGCCCCAGTTGCCAGGCTGAATGGAACTGGCTTTTTCACCCTTTGGAGACCATAAAAAAAAAAAACAAAAAAAAACCCATACTTTTCAGAAAAGAAAAAAATGCCTTAACTATATAAGATGGAGAAATTGAAACCTGTTACCCCTCAAGGGGTGGGCCAGGACTGGCTTCGACTTCAGAGCCAGCAGCAAATCGTGCCTAAGCATATTTTTTTTAAGGAGAATAAAGAGAACATTAGTTACGAGATTTTTTTATGTAGACAAACATTAGCAAGAACGAGGCCTTCCGTGTCTTTTTTTTTTTCTTTTTAAGCTTTCTTTTGCGTATGTTTTGTAAGCAACAAATTTTTGTATAAAAGTCTCCTGTCTCTTGCTATTTCTAGAACTCTGCGTCGTGTTTCACCATCTGCAAGGTGATTAAAGTAGCATTCCAAAAACCCAGTGTTGACCTAAGGATATCCAACCAAGGCCAGGCAAAAAGTAGGGACTGAAGGCCTGTGTCCCCTCCCCACCTCAGATGCAAATGAGTCCAGGGCCTGGCCTGTGCCAGTCAGACAAATCTTTGTGGAGTTAGCCTGATCTGCATAGAGTTCCAGACCAGCTGGGGCTGTAGGGAGAAAAAATATTTGTGTCTGTGCACGGAGGCCAAAGGTGGGTAACGGGGTCATCTTGCATTGCTCTTCACCTCTTTCATGACAGCATCTCTCACTGATCTTAAAGCTAATCTGCTACATGTGGCTGTCTGCCTCCCTAGCCGTGGGATTTCAAGGCAGAACCACACTTGGAATTCTATGTGGATGCTGTGGATTCAAACTCAGGTCCTCCTGCACTTGTGGAAAACATTTTAACCACTGATCCATCTCCCGAGGCCCAACATCCAGTCTTTCAAGAGTCTGCCAGAGGAAATGGTCTGTTGAGTTCCCCAACTCTAGAATCCCTAGTTCAGAGAAAATGACAGAAATTACACCCAACCTGGGGCTGGAGAGCTAGCTCAGCATTTAAGAACTCTTGCAGTTAAGAGGACCCAGGTGCTGGCCAGGTGTGGTGGCGCGCACCTTTAATCCCAGCACTTGGGAGATAGAGGCAGGTGGATCTTTGTGAGACCAGGCTGGCCTGGTCTACATAGTGAGTTCCAGGACAGCTGGGGCTACAGGGAGACCCTGTCTGAAAAAAAAAAAAAAAAGAGGCCCCAACACGAGCATGGCAGCTACCAGCCTTCTGTAACTCCCGTTCCAGGGGAGCGGACGCCCTCTGGCCTCCGTGGGCACTGCATGATATGGATGCACTCAATGCAGGCAAACACGAATACACATAAAAATAACACTGAGGTGGGCATGATGGCACACACCTTTAATCCCAGCACTCTGGAAGCAAAGGCAGGCAGCTCTCTTGAGTTTGAGGCCAGCCTGGTGTACATAGTTCCAGGCCAGCTGGGGCTACCGGGAGACCTTGTCTCAAAAAACACTTTGAAAAGTTAAATCCAGCCCCTGAGATCTGCCTTCATTAGTCCCTATCTAAAGATACTGGCCGGCCAGAAACCACATCCCTGAGCAGAGGGATAGTTTTTGTGTCTCACAGTGTTGCTGACCATTAGACTCACAGTAGAAAGAATTCCACAGACATGCCAGTCAGACCCTTAACGGGCTCGGCTTTTTGGTTCATATGTCCAGGAACATGGACTAGGCAGTCCCAAAAGGAGAATTCACTGGGCAGTTACATAGTGAGTTCCAGGCCAGCCTGGGCTACACAGACCCTGCCTCAAAAACAGGAACAAAAAGACCAAAGTTATCAGATTCAGGCTACAGGCTCACAGTTACCCTTGAAACCTCTTAGGCCACAATGCCGGGAGCCAAGCAACCAGGGTCCACTCGGACCTCAGATTCAAAAGGCTTTGCACACTGCCTAGGCTGGAAGCCCAGCTCACAAAGGCAGCGTCTAAGACCTTGTATCTCCCGGAAGTGGCCTTCATTGTCTTCCCGGCCAATGGCGAGCTATCAAGTGCAAGTGCGCGCGTTCCCTTTGCGCATGCGCCCTGCACATGCGCAGTGCTGTGGGGGCGGGGGAACAGTGTGACCCTGAGAGTCCGGATCTTGCCGCGATGCTGAGCAGGTTCCTTGGGCCGCGCTACAGGGAACTGGCCAAGAACTGGTGAGGAGCCCACCCATGTGTTCAGTCAATGTGCGTGTGCACAGAAGCGCACCCCTCCAGGATACGGTGCAGGTGGGATCCGGAGTCGGACCCTCGGCACCCTTACCCCTTGTCTGAGTGGCTCCAAGCCTCGGTTTACCCATACTGACCTGGGGAGCCTTGGGCAGGTAGTCTGGGCTCCTGAAGCCCTGAACCCAGACTCCAACTTTGCCCCCGGCTGGCCTGGAACTCGCAATGTAGACCGGACTGGCCTCGATCTCACAGATCTGCCCCCGCGTGCTGGGATGACAGGCATACCCGGCCTTAACCTGTCCTGTGGGCTGGGTACTGGGGAGGCTGAGCATTGTGGAGGTTTGATTGCTCCAGCACCCCGGTTGGCCAGGGCAGCGTGGGAGATGGCTCTCTAAGGACAACTCCCAGCTGGAGCTGACAACCTCTTCCCACTTCCAGGATCCCCACGGCCAGCATGTGGGGTGCCGTAGGCACTGTGGGGCTGGTGTGGGCTACAGACTGGCGGCTGATCTTGGACTGGGTGCCCTACATCAATGGCAAATTTAAGCAGGATGATTAAGCAGCCACCCTCCTCGGGCCTCTCGGTGAGTTCTTTGATTCGGGAAGGCTCCACCTGGCTGTGGTAGTACCTGACCCGGGGGCGAGGGGGTAGGGGTGGGGGCCGAATTTAGACAGCAAGGAATCCAAGACCCCAAGAGTGCCTACCTCGAGGGTCCGCAGCTGCTCATGGAGTTGTGGCTGGAAGTTTCCTTCAGTCCAGAAGGCCAAGCAGAACCTTTGCCCCAGTGCCATGCGGGACAGACACCCCATTCTACAGACAAGAGAGTCAAGACTGGCCTCTGCAGTGGTCTCCCTGCATGCACTGGGGGCATTTGTTCTGTGTGACTCTTTATCAGCTGACCTTGATTGAATAGCTTCTTGCCCTGGAACAGTCCTGTGTAGAACACTCACGCCCCATCCTTGTGTATGTGTGTGTGTGTGTACACACGTTCATGTGTGGAGCCACAGGTGAAGGTTGGGTCTTCCTCTCCACTGTATTTTTTTTTCTCGTTCATGTATGTATATGAGTTTATTGCCTGCATATATGCAAGTGCACCAATTGTGTGCAATGCCCTGGGAAGAGAACAGGGATCCTCTGCAAGAGTAACCAGTGCTCTTAGTAGCTCTCCAGCCCCACATTTTTTTTTTCAATATATAAGGTCTCTCACTGAACTTGGAGCTCACCTATTAGGCAAGACTGGCAGCCAGTGAGTAGCTGGGATCTGCCTCATGCTAAGTGCTGCAGTTTTAGGTGTGTTCTACCACGCCTACCTTTTCCCATGGACACAGGACCAAACTCGGGTCCTCATTCTTGTGTGGCAGGCACTTTATCGATGGAGCTCACTCTGCAGACATCTCATTCCATCTCACAGATAAGGACCTTGTGAATTCTATGATGCTTAGCAGCATCATTCACACTCAGAACCCAGAGCTGCCCCCTTCAGATTTACTCAGTGTGTCTGAGGCTTGGAGTCCCTGGGCTGCCCCAGAGCCAATGCCCCATGTTCTCAGCTCACCACCATGCATTGTCCCATTTCCCAGGTGACACGCCACACAGCAGCCTTTGGAACAGCCTGGAGCCACCTAGCCGTGTGGAGGACCCAGAGGAAGCCTGCAGGGCCCTGCCGGGGGTCCTGTTCCTTCATGGACACTTGGGATGTCTTGATGCATGTAGCATTAAAGCAAGGTCTCATACCTGCCCCATCACTTCCCTGACTGAAGGATCCTTTCAACCCCCAAAGTTTGGGAATCTGGGAGAGGGTCCACAGCATGGAGTGTTTGCTGCATTCCTCTCCTCCACCGCTGTCCACACCCAACACCCACCGTCACCCCTCAATCTGAATGGCGTTATGGTTTTCCCATTTTCTGAGATAGGGTCCTTCATAGCTACTACAACCCACTGGAACATGATGCTCCTGGTTTTTAAAAAATAGCTTTTATATTTGTTTTATGAGTGTTTTGCCTCCATGCATGTAAGTGCAGAGGCCAGAAGAGGGTGGTGGATCCCCTGGAACTGGAGTTATGTGGATGGTTTTTGGTTGCCATGTGGGTGCTGGAAATTGAACTTGAGCCCTCTGCAAGAGTAACCAGTGCTCTTGTAATGGCTGAGTCAGCTCTCCAGCCCGTTCTTGTTTATTCGTTTCTTGTGTTATGAGTGTTTGCATGTATGTATGTGCACCATGTGTCTGGAGTGCCCATGGAGGCCAGAAAGTGGTGTCTGATCCCGTGGAGCTGGAGCTATAGACCGTGTAGACTGCCTCAGTAGGGCTGTTGTGAATTTGAGAGCAGCCTGTGCTGTATAGTGACTTCTTGTCTCAAAAAAGCCTGGATGTGGACTGGAGAGGTGACTCAGCCATTAAGAGTACTGGCTGTTCTTTCAGAGGCCCCAGGTTCAGTTCCCAGCACCCACATAGCATTAGCAACCTTCCATGACTCCAGTTCAGGGAATCTCATGCCCTCTTCTGACTTCTGAGGGCACTGCATGACACGGGTGCACTTATACACATGCAGGCAAAACACTCATACACATAAAATATTATTTAAATATATATTTTTTAAAGTTTTTTAAAGCCCAGCATGGTGGCACAGGCCTTTAGTCCTAGCACTCCAGAGTCAGCTGGTGCTACCCTGTCTCATAAAGACCCCCCCCAAAAAAATAAAGTTTTTAAAAAAACTGGATGTACTTGACTCTCCTGCCCTCCTAGCATTGGGGCAGGACGATCAGGAGGTCAAGGAAGTCCTCCACTATATAATGAGGACAACCCGGGCTGCAAGATCCCCCGTCTCCAAAAGGTAAAAGAAAACCAGGCCTATCATTCCAGCTATTTAAGAGGTTGAGGCAGGAGGTTTATTCCTGCCTGAATCAACTTGTGAAACCTTGTCTTAAAATAAAAAGTAATGCTGGACTTGGTGGTGCACACCTTCAGCCTCCAGCACTCAGGAGGCAGACAGGTGGCTCTCTATGCGATCCATGCCAGCCAGGGCTACATAGCGAGTTCCAGGCGAGATGGGGCTACAGGAGACCCTGACTCACAAAAACATAAATACTGCTGGGTGCAGTTGGCGCACGCCTCAGACCCCAACAATGTGGAGGTTGAGGCAAGATTGCCACGGGTTTGAGGCTAGCCTGGACTACATGAGACTCGAGCCAGCATAGCTGAGCGCGCAGGCGCGACAGCAATTTGCTTCTTGTCGCGCTGATTGGCTACGCCGCTGAGAGGCGTGGCCTCCATTGCAGCGTTGGAGCCCACTCCCCTTTGCCAGGAAACCGGCCTGGTGGTCGGTCACCGGGAGAGTCCCGTGGCACAGCCGCGTGTTCGGCTGCGGAGGTGAGTGCCGCGCTCTGATTGGCCACGCCGCCGGCGACAGGGCCTTACAAAGGCAGCGGGGGCGGTGCTGAGCCTGCGGCTGCGCAAACCTACCCACCACCGCAGATCTGTCACTGGCAGGTGCGTTGGGGGGGCGGAGTCAAAGGTAGGCAGACAGATCTTGTGTACTCGGATTGGTCCCTCCGCAATGGGGCGGGCCCTAGGCTGCGGCTGCGCAGTCGCTCACCGTGGTCCCGGACCTATTGCCTCAATGTGAATGCTGCGGAGGCGTTGTCTAAGGTGCGTGGACAGGAACACGCGCGCCCTGATTGGTCACCGCCGTAGTGAAGGCCAACGCGCGAGGAGCCACCAATGCGCATGCCCAGATACGACCCACGAACTCTGATTGGCCTTTTACGTTTGCTTAAAGAGTTCAGACCTTCGTGAAACGGGTCTGGCTAGGGAGTGGAGGTGGGGCCTCCTCCGCGGCTGCGCAGACGAACCCCACGCGCGGGAGGGTGGGCGGAGCGCCCCCCCCCACAGCGGGGGCTGTGGAGCGCGGGGAGGGGGCCGAGAGGGTGGCAAAGCCGGCGCGCGCCCGGCTGGGGGCGGAGGGAGGGGGTCCGCGGCTCGGAACAGCCGCGGTGACTGGCGGCGGTGGCAGCCGAAGCGGCGACGAGCTTGGGGGTCGCGGCGGCGGCAGCGGCAGCGGCGACGGCGGGCCCGGAGGCGGGCGGGGGAGCCGGGGCGCAATGGAGCGGGAGAGGGGGGAGAAGGTGGGAGTGTCCGGCGCTCCCGCAGGGCTGGGAGAGGGAAGAAGTGCCCAGGAGGTCGGGGCTGTCGGCCGGCCACAGGGATGTCTTTTACTATAGGTGAATGAGCGCGCCGGCCGCGCAGGGCCCTAACGGGCGCCTCCCAGCGGCCTTTGCGGTGGCCCGGGCGCCCCTAGTGCGGGCCGGAGCATGTGGACTCGCTGGCGACAGTACGCATGCGCTGTCTGGCGTGTCGCCTAGTGCGCATGCGCTGTTTGTGGCTTGTAGCCCAGTGTACATTCGGGCCTCTCGGCGTGTCGCCTAGTGCGCGTGCGCCCCTCAGTTTTGTCTGTCCCTCTGCGCGCGTGCGCCCTATTATCATTGGTAGCCCAGTGCGCACGCGCAGTGACTCCGCTCTCGCCGCGTGGCCGGTACCTTGATTGCGGCGGGATCTTTTGTCCTCTGTGGCCTCGGGGACCGCGGGCTCTGCGCTAGGGGCGCCTGGCTTGGGCAGACGCCGCTGGGAAGCGAGGGTGTGGGCGGAGTTGTCCCTGTGACCCAAGAATGCGGGAGACATAGTGGGTTTTCTGGGAGTTGGGCGGGAAGATGCGGGATGCACCTGCTTGGAAATCCAAATCAGTGTCTTCACCAGACTTGCCTAGGGTGGGTTGGACTCCTTAGCTCCTTTTTTTTTTTTGCAAAGTACCTCCCAGTTTTGGGATTATTGCAAGGCCCTTGCACTTCTCCAGTCGTATCCACTCTTGACTGACATCTGTCACCAGCTCTGAGTCCAGTAACCATTTAGCTTTCATTTTGTTTAAAAAATTTTTTATAAGCCGGGCGTGGTGGGGTACGCCTTTAATCCCAGCACTCGGGAGGCAGAGGCAAGCGGATCTCTGTGAGTTCCCAAGGCCAGCCTGGTCTACATGAGTTCCAGGACAGCTGGAGCTACAGGGAGACCGTCCCAAAAAGACCAAAAAAAAAAAAAGTTTTGTTCTTATGTATGAGTGTTTTGCTATATATGCGTGCCCTTGCGTGCAATGTCCATGGAGGCAAGAAGAGGGTGTGGGATCTTCTGGAATGAAGGAGTTACAGTTGTTAGCCAACCCCTTGTGTGCTGGAAACTGAACCTAGACCCTCTGCAAGAGCAGCCAGTGCTCTTAACCAGAGCCATCTCTCCAGCTGCGCTTTCCCCTCCCCTTTGTTTTCTCAAAGACAGGGTCTTGCTAGCCTAGAACTCACTATTTCGACCAGAGTCCCAAGTACTGGGATGTCTGACATGTGGTATCATGCCTGATGCCCCTTAGTTTCCTGTTAGGAGAGTGAGGCTTCCGTTACTGCAGCCGAGACCTGTACACCTGCTCTTGTGTTCCCCAGCTGCTTGCTTGTTTTTTCAGTGCTGGGGATGGAACCCTGGGCCTTTTGCACGTGCTAGGCCAGTGCTGTCTTCCTGGGCTGTATCCCTAGCATATGCTTTCTGAGCCAGGTGGAGTCGCTCCTTATTGTTTAAGGGTGGGGGTGTGGAGCCCAAGTAGGGGAATGCCCCTTGCTCCATATGCCCAGGTGCTCCAGCCTTCTCCGTTTGTGGGGGGGGGGGGGGTCCTCAGGTTTGCAAACTAAACTTCAGGATCAACTTAGGTTCCCACTGGGCTGCAAAGAGGGGTGGGGCCCTTGGTCTCTAAGAATGTGGGGTAGGTACCTAAGACCCTGTCGTTTTAGGCTTTCATTATTAGAGTTGCAGACTGGCCTTGTATGGATGCAGCTTTGGGTTTCTGCCCTGTGAAGGAGCCCTCAGACCAGAATCCACCAGGGACAGTTCCCAGCACCCTCTATCACAGCCCCCAGGGCCTTTGTTGTTTTTGGTATTTTGAGACAGGGTCTCCCTCTAGCCCCTGATGGCCTGGAACTTGCTATGTAGACCAAGCTGGCCTCTGTCTCTCAGAGATGCCTCTGTCTACAGAGTGCCTGGATTAAAACGTACATCTCCACAACTGGGCCTTTCTTAATTGCCCTGCAGCCTAAGGATCTGAGGCTCAGGAGGTGTCAGGCTCATATGGGGTGCCTGGTGGGACAGCTTTGAGATGGTAAATGTGCCCCCAGGATAGCCATGAATGCTGCCCAACACCTTTCCATGTGATGACAACGCATGTCACTACACTGAGTCACCAGACTTGGGGCCTCATGGGTGGGGGGCATGGCTGAGCCAGACCCCAGCTGGGGAGCCCCACCCATATGGCTCCTTAAATCTTCACTTTGTACTCTAAACTGTCAAGGATTCTTCTGTGTTAGACTTGGGAAACCAGTGTCAGAAAGGAGAGCCAATTCATTGTGTCATGGTGCTTCCTGGTGCAGCCCCCATGAAGTCACATCCCACCTTCCAGTCCAGGCCACTACCTGTCTTTTGACTTGGATTTAATTTATGTTTTGAGACAAGGTTTTGCTGTATAGGCCAGGGTGGCATGTTATCCCAGCACTCAGGAGGTAGAGGCAGGAAGATCAGGAATTCAGGGTTGGCTTGGCTCCATAAGGAAATTTGAGGCCAGCCTGGGCTTCATGAGGCCATCTTTAAAAAAACAAAAACCCCAGGATCCTTTTACCTTCCACTGCTCTGCACTCCCTCCCCAACCCCTAAGCAACTATTGATCAGAGTCCTGTGTGTGGTTCCCGTACCAGAGCTCTACCTGAAGCCTGGGGCAGCATGATGGGCTTTCTACCCCAGGCCTGTGGGCTATTTTAGTGTCAGCCCAGGTGCTCTGGGCTTTCACAACAGCAAGAAACAGCCTCTGGGCCCTGTGCTGAACCCAGAGTGTCCACCCTGCAGGAGAAGCAGGGCTGTGCTGAGCAGGCAGGCAGGCAGGTGTTTCCCTGTGATCCTCTGCACTGGCAAGTTCCTTTCCTCCTGGGGGAGAAGATCCTAAGCCCATATCTGGGATCTTACCCTAAAGGTTTCCAGCAGGGAAGGTCAACCCTGAGCCCCCAGTCTCAGGTTGTAAACAGTGATTGTTAGTAGAGTGTACAGCTTGCCTAGGGAGGGTCTGCTGGAGCCTCCCCACCCACCCAGTGCCCAAGGACCCTTTGGCCTTGCTCACTCTGGGCAAGTGCTCACTGAGACCTACTCCAGCCCTATAACCATTCCTGACAGCTTTACTGGTGATCACATACAGTTTGCTTATACTTAAAGTCTGTCATGTTCAGTGACTTTTACTTTATTCATAGAATTGTGCAACCATGACCTCCATGCCCATTGTCTTTGTGGAATCGCCTGTCATGGAGTCCCACACTGGCCTTTTGGGACTCATTGAGCACCCATGCTCCCTCCACCCTGTAATTTGTGGTAGAGCCTTGTTCCTCTTTATGGCTGAGTAATACTCCAGCATGTGGTGGAGACTGTTCAGGCTGTCACACTGCTCTGAGCATTCAGTATACTTGGGCTGGGGCCTTCCCGGACACCCTTGAAAGAGGTGCTTCGGTTTAAGGGTTCCCTCGCCTGTAAGCTTGGACTCACATGACTGAAGATACCTATAATCAGGGCAGGCTGTGGCACACCCACAGACCTAGCACTTTGGAAGGTGGAGAGAGGAGGATCCAGGAACTGGGGGTCCAGCCTGGGCTATACAGCATGTTTGAGGCCAGCCTAGGCTATGTAAGACACTAACCCAAAATAAAAAGATACGCCCTTAATCCCAGCACCCTGGAGGCAGAGGCAGGAGGATCCCTGTAGATTGAGGCCAGCCTGGTTAACATAGTTACAGGCCATCTGGAGCTATAGGGAGACCCTGTCTGGAACATCCCCCCCCCAAATAAAAGGACCCCGGGCTCAGTGGGTAGAGCGCTCACATGCTTGAAACCCTGGGTTCTTTGCCCCCTGCTTGGCCTATCACCCATAATTCCAACACTCAGGAGCTGGAGGCAGGGGGTTGGGAGTTCAAGGCCGTCCTTTTCTACGTTTCTACCTAAACTAAAGGAGATTGAATGAATCCATGCATGCATGCAACTGTAGCTCTACAAATTCAGGATTCCTGAGGTGCAGACTGGCCTCTGACCTCCTCAGCTTGGGAGGCTCCCTAGGGCTGGCATTCTCTGCTTTTCTTGGTGGTGGTGGCAGGGGGGTTCTCTCTTCAAAGTGAACCTGAGGCCGGGAGGGGAGGCCCAGGGTGGAGGGCAGGGTGTCTCATGGGTCCCGCCCACGCCAGTGCGCTCCTCTCCCGCAGCCCCAGCGGGAAGAAAATCCGCAGCAAGCCACAGCTGGCGCGCTACCTGGGCGGCTCCATGGACCTGAGCGCCTTCGACTTCCGCACTGGCAAGATGCTCCTGAACAAGATGAACAAGAGTCGCCAGCGCGTGCGCTACGACTCCTCCAACCAGGTCAAGGTGAGCTGGGTGACGTCATGGGGCGGGGCCGCCAGCAAGGTTAGCCGCCATCGCCGTACAGGCAATCCCCCTCCGGCTGGCAGAGGCATGCAACGGACAGGGATGAGGAAGACCTGGGCCCCAGAGCCCCAGCACCCACCCTGCACTTCGCAGGCCTCTGCCCGCGGCGCCCCAGGTGCTCCCCACCTGCCCTGGACCCCCACTGGGGCGGCCCGCTGCAGCGTCTACTCCCCGCAGGGAAAACCCGACCTGAACACAGCGCTGCCTGTGCGCCAGACGGCCTCCATCTTCAAGCAACCGGTGACCAAGGTCACCAATCACCCAAGCAACAAGGTCAAAAGTGACCCACAAAAGGCCGTGGACCAGCCTCGCCAGGTAAGCCCCGCACCAGGGCCTGACCTGGGGATCCCCAAGACCTGCTAACTCTCTCTTCCCCTCATCTTCCTCATCCCCTAAGGATGGAACACACCCTGCCCCTTTGCACATGCTAGGCCCCAGAGCCACAGCAGCAGCCCCAAAATCTTTTCTTACAAAGTGCTGAGGATCCTATACCACTGGTTTTTTGGGGTTTTTTTTTTGGTCTTTTTGAGACAGGGTCTCCCTGTAACCCCAGCTGGCCTAGACCTAAAATATGTAGACCAGGCTGGGCTTGAACTCACAGAGATCTGCCTGCCTCTGCTTCCCCAGTGGGGATTAAAGAAATGTACCACCACACCCAGCCTAGTTACATAAGTCTCTGGCCCAAAATAAAGACCTGGCCAGGTGTGGTGGAGTACACCTTTAATCCCAGAGGTAGAGGAAAGTGGCTCTCTGAGATCCAGGTTAGGCTGGACTACACAGGGCATTTACAGGTACAGAGACCCAGTTTCAAAAAACAAGAGAGAACTGGTAGGGCCAGGGATGGGGTTAGGTTGTGGTGCACTTGCCTGCCACTTGGGAGGCTCAGGCTGGAGGATCCCAACCTGTAGACTACCTTCCACTAGAGAACAAAGGCCTAGGCCTTATTTGTAAACATCCCGAGGCACTGGGTGTGACTGCCACTGAAGAAGGGAAGGCGGGAAGGGGAGGTGACTATTCCTTCTCAGTGAAGGGGTAAGAGGCTTGATGCTCCCACCTGTGATCTCCTGCTCCACTCCTTCCTGCCCCATAGCTGTTCTGGGAGAAGAAACTGAGTGGCCTGAGCGCCTTTGACATTGCTGAGGAATTGGTCAGGACCATGGATTTGCCCAAGGGCCTTCAGGGTGAGTGGCAGGGGAGGGCTGCAGAATGGGGGCTCTTAAGACCAGGCTGGCCTACAACCCACAGAGTTCTGGGATTAAAGCTGTGCTGGCCATGTGACCCAGCTTCCTGTGGGAAGGGTGGCCTCCTGTGACCCCACCCTGTCACCCTCCAGGGGTGGGCCCAGGCTGCACAGATGAGACCCTGCTGTCAGCCATTGCCAGTGCCCTGCACACCAGCACCCTGCCCATCACTGGGCAGCTATCAGCTGCTGTGGAAAAGAACCCAGGTGTGTGGCTGAACACCACACAACCACTGTGTAAGGCCTTCATGGTGACCGACGATGACATCAGGTAACTGCTGCACCTCTCCCCAGGTTTTTCTGCAGTCAGCCATGGCTAGGAGACCTCTCAGGATCATGCTAGAATAAAGGCGGCACTTTCTGCCACTGTGGGAATGGATTGTGGGAATGGATGGGGAATGGGAGTGCAGTAGGGTACAGTCTGTGTAGCAGAGACAACCACCACAAGCTGGGGGAAATTGGGGATCCCAGCGTGGCCTCGGGAGGGAAGCAGGTACCTGAAGGGCATACCAAGAGCCCTAAAGAAAAACATCCAGTGTGTTTGAGGTCTGGTCCAGCTCAGGCAGCAGGGACCTTGGGGACTTCACCCAGGCTGGGCTGAACCCAGGTTCTTCCCACTGAGGGGGAGTGATGGCTGTGACTGGTCTCCACCTCAGTATCCTAGCCCTGTTTGTGTTGCAACAAGAAGGGAGGGAGGGACACTGCTCCTTGGTGGTGGTACCTACTCATGAACTGTCACAGGCAGGCTACTGACACTGCAGGGACACCTGGCAAGCCTGGGGATTGTGACAGTCCAGGTTGTGTGCATCGTGAACAGTGCATGAGGGTGTGGGCTGAGCTGGTAACCACAAGCCATGGATCAATTCCATGGGTTTCTGGGGCCCCAAGCCTGCACCAGCAGCCTACGTATCCCTGGGGCCCGGGCTGTCTGCCTGTGTTCCCAGCCCCATCACCCCACATGTCCACAGGAAGCAGGAGGAGCTGGTGCAGCAGGTACGCAAGCGCCTGGAGGAGGCGCTGATGGCTGACATGCTGGCCCACGTGGAGGAGCTGGCCCGAGATGGGGAAGCGCCACTGGACAAGGCCTGTGCTGATGATGATGAGGAGGACAATGAGGAGGAGCCGGAGGCTGAGCCTGATCGTGTCTAGCTCAGGTCAGGGTGGCAGGGTGCGTGCCATGCCTGTGCTGCTGAAGAGCCTGGCCCCCATTTCTATTCAGGTGGCTTTCAGTGTCCCATCCTGTCCTTTCCAGATGCTCAGCCTCGCCTGGACCAGGTGGGGACCACTGGGAGGTCGGCCTCTGTCCTCCCCAAGGCCTCCTCCCAGCTCAGTGCCAGGAGCCCTGAGACACAGCCCACCTGCGGGCGCTGGACATGCATGCCCCTGCCCTGCCTGGCAGAGGCCATAGAGGACTCAAGGCCACTGGCCCAACATGGAGGCCAGTAGGGTCCTATGGCTTCCTGGCTCCTCATAGGAAGAGGCTCTGCCAGGCACCAAGGAGCCTTGAGCTCCAGCAGCTGAGGGAAGGTTCTAAACACACACGTGGCTGTCTCTACCCTGCCTGTGCTGCACTGAAGTGCCCTGCACACTGGAGCTAAGGGCTGATAGCCACAGGAAGTCGTGCATCAATAAAGGGATGGTGGGACCCTCTGCCGATTCTGACTCCACCCTGTGAGCCATGGCCCTGCTGCCTGGGCCCTGTAGAACCCATGCCAAACCCAAGCTGTCGAGACCTTTGGGGACCCTCCTCCTTCACACCCCACGTGCCAGGGGTAGAGATAACAGCTTCAGGGTGCAGCCAGTGCCTCTGCAGTTGGTGCCACAGCCTCCATCCCCTGGGAGAGGGGTGGGAAGGCTCCAGAACGATGAAGGCCTAGGTCATTACCTGGGGACAAGGTAGCTCTCCAGCCCCAGACCTGAGTGGCCAACCCTGGCCACTTGACCCCTCCAAAGTACACTAACCTATGACCATGCAGTGAGGCCCTGACAAGAAGCCTGGGGTACCCCAGAACCCCCATCATTACCATTCTATCTCCCCTCCCATATGGGGTATTTTATGAGCTGCTGGACCCAGGACCTCTAGTGGGGTCCACAGGTCCCACCATGAAGACAGCCCCCACCCCAAACACCAGGCTCAGGCATTCACTAGACCAACAGGCCAGGTAACACGATGCAGTGTCTGGTTAGGGACCCCTTTGCAGCCAAAAATGGGTTCCAGGCCTGGGCTGTGAGTGCCCAGGAGATGGGTCAGATGTCAGTGAGAGGCCTTTAGGGTGAAACCTCAGTCAAAAGGGCAGCCATGGCTTCTGGCCTCCCTTGGGCCCCACAGGTCCCTTGCAGTGGGGTTAAGAACACCCTAGCCAGGTGGCACTGACCATAGAATGTAAATGGCTTTGACAGGATATGGGATGGGTACCTCTGTTCAGCCAAGTCCTTCCACAAACCAGGTACCCAGCATCTTCCACCCATGTGCCCTGCTGTACCGATCCCAGGATGGAGCTGATGTTTGACCAGAACACCTCATTGTCCCCTCAGCAGTTATGTCAGTCCTTCAGTAAGCCACCGTAACAGAAGACATGAGGGGGCAGGGCACTTTTCTGGGCAGGGGTCCTTAGCTTTTGAGGGGGACTGGAGCCTATTAAGCCAGGATGCAAAAATGCATTCAAGTGACCTCCCGCTGCCTGGAATATTACTTGGCTATGAACAAGAGCATATTCATAACATGGAGGGATTCAAGACATCACACTCAAGAGTCTCGCACACAAAATCCAGTGTGGGGTTCTATGATAGGAGGTAGTATCCAGAGCAGAGCAGCCCTTGAAAACATTTCTACATAAATGTCTCAAAAGGATACTATTTCAAATACATTTGTATTTTCTGTGTATTATGAATGCTGCCTACGTATATATAAGTGCACTCTTGTGGGGCTGGAGAAATGGCTCAGCGGTTAAGAACACTGGTCTTGCAGAAGACCTGGGTTTGAATCCCAGCACCCACATGGCAGGTAACAACTGTAACTCCAGTCCCAGGGGATCTAACAGCCTCTTCTGTTCTCCGGCATTGCACCTACACACAGGTAATACATGCATGCACATAATTTTTATTAATACATATTTTTTTAATGCTCCCTCGTGTGCAATGTCTGCAGAAGCCAGAAGAGGATGTTGGATCCCCTGGAACTGGAATTACAGATGGTTGTTAGCTACCATGTGTGTGTTAGGAATTGAACCCAGATCTAATAGAAGAGCAGTCAGTGCTCTGAGCTAGCTCTCCAGCCCCTCTAAACTTTTTTTTTTGTCTTTCTGAGACAGGGTCTCTGTAGGCCTAGCTGGTCTGGAACTCGGAGAAATCCACCTGCCTCTGCCACCCTAGTGCAGGGACTAAAAGCATCCAACACCACACCTTGCTAAATTTAATTTTTTTTATGAGTGTATTGCCTGCATGTAAGTGCACCCTTCTCTTGCAATGCCAGCGGAGGACAGAAGAAGCCATCAGATCCCCTGGAACTGGAGTTACGGACAGTTGTTAGCTGCCCTGTGTGGCTGCTGGGATTTCAAACCTGGGTCTTCTGTAAGAAAAACCAGTATTCTTAACTGCTTAGCCATCTCTCCAGCCCCTAAATTTATTTTTTTATTGAACTAGGCTTGAAGCATCTACTCAGTCCCACTCTTGAGTCAGGCTTAACAGGAAGCAGCTTCATGTGCGGAGCCATGTTGCCAGCCCCTCCCCCTTTTATTTGGGTTTGGGGGTGGACCCAGGCCTCACCAGTGATGTCATCCTGTCACTGACTTTTGTATTTTATTTACTGGTTTTTCTGTGTGATTGTGTGCATGCATGTGTATGGACAAGAATGTGGAAGTCAGAAGACAACCTTAGGTTTCATTCCTTAGGCCCCTTCTGCTTTTGAGACTGGGTCTCTTATTGACTTGGAACTAATCAGTAGGCCAGAGTAGCTGCCCAGAACTCTACAGGGATCACTTGCCACCATGCCTAACTTTTTAAGAATATTTATTGATGGGGGCTAGAGAGATGGCTCAGCAGTTAAGAACACTGGTTTTTCTTGCAGAAGACCCGGGTTCGGGGTCCCATCACCCAAATGGCAGCTAACAACTGTCCGTAACTCCAGTCCCAGGGGATCCAACAGTCTCTTCTGACCTCTGAGGGTATTGTATGACACGGGTGCAGTTACCTACATGCAGGCAATACACGTATACACATAAAAATAATTTTAAAAGTTAAAAAAGCCAGGTGTAGCAGTGCATACCTTCAATCCCAGCACTCGGGAGGCAGAGGCAGGCCTCTGTGAGTTCAAGACCAACTTGGTCTACATGGTGTGCTCCAGGCCAGCTGGGGCTACAGGGAGACCCTGTCTCAAAAAGACCTGGTTCCATAATATACTTTTCTTGTTGTTCTTTTTGAGATAGCATCTCCATGAAGCTGAAGCTAGCCTGGAACTCCCTGTGTACACCAGGCTGGCCTGGAACTCATGGAGATCCACCAGCCTCTGCTGGGATTAAAAGTCTGCCCCACCATGTCCAGTTTTGCCCAATGTTTTGAAATGGTGTCTTTGAACTTAGAGCTCATGGATGGATTCAGCTAGGCTTGGCTGACCAGCGAGTCCCAGGGATCCCCTATCCCTCCTTCCCTAAGGCTGGGATTACAAACTGCCCATTCTGGCTTTTTCTAGGGGTGTTGGGGATTCAAACACAGGCTTGTACAATAATTTCTACAGCCCCTCAATTTCTTGGAAAGTCACCCGCAGGTGGCCCTGAACCCCCAGTCACACCCTGTTGCCTCTGAATCTCTAGTCTCTTAGCAGCCCACCAGATGGTGGGAGGACACAGAGGACCCACCTGAATGGTGACTGAGGTTCATCCTGTGCCTCAAGCTCTGAATGCCTGCCTGGGCAGACAGAAGTTTCTGCACCTGGGACAGGCTGCTATACATGAGGTGTCGGGGGAAAATATTACTAGTTTTGAGTCCTGGGGTGCACAAAAGAGAATCCGAGGTGCTGGGGTGGTTAGAGCCAGGGCTCAGGAAGGACTGCAAGTGTGTATACCATCCACTTTGGTTTGGTTTGGGGGTTTTTTTGAGCCTGTCCCACTATGTAGCCCTGGCTGGCCCGGAAGTCAGGATATCACTACATAAACCAGGCTGGCCTAGAAGTTGCAAAGAGCCACCTGCACTGGAAGGAGGGGGGTGTGATCACAGGTTGGGTGCCCCTCCTTCACAGCCTATGAGGAGGTGCCAGCGACTGTGGGCTGTGGCTACAGCTGCTGGGAACCTCCCTACCCCTGAAGCCCCACCAGGTGAAGATGTCTACCTTTGAAGGCACCTACCCCCCCGCCTACTTCGTCCCCAGGAGGATGCAATGGGGGGAGGCTTGAACTGAGGAACATGTACCTCAGGCTGGCCAGGAACGGAACCATGCTAATATCTGAGAGGGCAAGATGGCAACATACAGGTAGGCTCCATTGCAAGGGACCCCAAGTCCTAGGGGTACATAGGAACACGAGGAACATTCAAGTCCCTGGAAGCACTCCAAGCTCTAAGAGGCAAATCAGGAGTGGTTCAGGGCGGGTAGGGAGCCAAGAGGCTCATGTGAAAAGGATGCTTGGCTCTGGGGAAGAGGTGCAGGTTTGTGCACAGTGGGTTGGATGGGTGTGCCCTACTGTAAGGGATTCCTGTGGACCCTAGTCAGGGAGCAAGGAGGCCAAAAGGTCAAAGTTAAGAGAGATTTTGAAGGGTGCCCCTGAGCATGCATGCAGGGGGTCCCCAGCACCAGGAAGTGGGGGGATGAGAGTAGCAGCAGGGAAACAAGGTCTCTCCTCAAAGGGTCTCAAGCAGAGGGACCCCAGATTCCCCAGATGCCCACAGGAGTCTCTGGCTACAGAAGAGCGTGATCGACCGGGAAAGCTAGGCACAGGAAGGGGAGCCCACATTTTTCTACACAGAGGGGCTTGGGGTGTTGGGGAAGGGGAAACAAGGTGTGACCTGGAAGTTGGGGGAAGAGAGTTCCCAGGTCATTAGGTGCGCATAGGGAGGAGCCCAGCCTCAAAGAGGGCAGGGACAGATTGGTGGAAGCCAGGCACGGAAAGAGCACCCCATGTTTTTGAACAGAGACGGGTGTACACCGTGGCTGGGAGGTGGAATGGGGTAAGGTGTAACCGCGAGGTGAGGGAGGAAAGGGTCCTCAGTGTCCTCATGAGGGAACCGCCCGACTCCTAGGGAGCAGGGACAGGCCAGTGGGAACCAGGCACCGGAAGGGGACCCCACAACTTTGCACAGAGAAGGGAGGGCTCCATGGCGACTTGGGGGTGAGATAGAAGAGGAGAGACACGGGACCCCAGGCGCGCAAGTGGAAGGAGTCCCGGTCTTAAAGAGCGTGGGGACGGGGGGAGGGGCAAGAGCCAGGCACCAAAAAGGAACCTTTGCGTAGAGTTGGGGTGAGGATCCTCCGTGACTTGGGGTGGGACAGGGGAAGGGCAACGGGACCCAAGAATAGGAATCCCCGGTCTCCAGGAGCGCACGGGGAGGAGTCTTGTTCTCAAAGAAGTCGGGGACAGGCCAACGGGAGCCAGGCGCGAAAAGGGGACCCTAGGTTCTGGGCGGAAGTGGGGGGTTCCTCCGTGGCTTGGGGTGGGATTGGGAAGGAGAAACACAAGACCCCCGGGAGCCCCAAGGATCCACCGCGCAACCCTCAGACAGACCCACCTGCAGCGCCTCCGCACGTGCGAGCGCCCAGGGTGGTGCTGATGGGGGTAGGAGGGGGCAGAGAAGGTCCGCGCCCAGGGCGGGGACGGGGCGTCCACGTGAC